GGGGCAGTGTGTAGCCTGCATAATTAAACTGTAAACTGCCCAGATATTGTTTTAAGCACTATGGCGCAGTATATAAGCAGCAGACTTTGCTTCTTTTTTTCCCTTTTAGCTACAGGTAATTGTCCCACCACCAGTGCTGAAGAAAAACCGAAAGCCAATCTGATTTGCTTTTGTACCTGGAATAGGAGGAGGTGCCATCTCCCCCCTGCCTCAGGTGGCAACATGTCTTGGGGCAGCCTTGCCTTTCTTTTTGTCTCCATGTTGTTTCAAAGTCCAAGATACATGTTGTACATCTTTCAAGACACTTGCCTCCTGCCTGAAACAACAATCTTCCCCAGCAAGCTCTTCCTGTGAGTCTGAGGAAAGAGAAGACAAGGAAAATGCTAGCTGGGAAATGCTGGTGAACAGCTGGGGGGGAATCATTGTTGTGATATAATATGCAGTTTTTGCAGGGCAAGCGTAAGACTTCAAGATTAGTTCCAGAGAAACAAGACAGATAATAAAATCATGGAGTTGGAAGAGATCTCAAAGGTCAGCTGGTCGCAACTGCCTCCAGTGCAGGAATTCTAAAGTATGTGTGTCTGTGTTATGTGTTGTGCGCTGTCAAGTCAGAATTGACTTATAGCGACCCTAGTAGGGCTTTCAAAGTAAGTGAGATACTTAAGGAATGGCTTTACCACTTTCACATAACCAGTGAGTTTCTGTGGTTTAGTGGGGCACAGAACCCAAGCCTCCTGAGTCCTATTTTGTCCCTATTATCTTCTACACCACATTGGTTATGTGCATGTCTCTATATCTGTACAAACACAATTTTTTTCTTATGAAAGCTACGCAGGACTGGGCTCCTAGCAGGAAGTTCCTTACGATCATCAGAAATTCTGTTTCTTCCTTCTATTTTGGTTTTTCCAAAAGAGAGTTGTCTACATGAGCCCTCCGTACTATAATAGAAAATAAGGTTGTCTGTGTTCCTACATGTGACAGCTATATATTACTCCAGTACCAGAAGCAGCTTTGGTCAACAGTGTGAACGAGCTGTTTGTCCTGCCTTGCTTGTGGTCTCTTCTGGGGGCTTCCTGGGACTGTGCAGCTTGCCCAACACTACACTCTTAGGAGGCAAAGTTGGGAATTGAAGACCTAGCCTCTGGTTCCACAGCCAGAAACCTACACAAGACATTAATGGGAGTTTCTTATACGCATGCCCTGTCATGCAAGTCTTCTTTGCAACATGCTGCACCTTTATGTATTCTTAATAAAGTTGTTGGGTTTAGTTGCCCTCCATTTACTCTCTTAGAGTTTACACAGCTTTGCTCTTCAAGTCAATGAGCTGTAGTAATACAGTATCTTCAGAAAGAAAACACTACCAATCCGTCCCCTCTCCTGAAAGATTCTAAGGCTTCCATGGGATCTGTTTGGTCATGGGAAAACTGGGGGAATATTTCTGAGAATTGGTGCCATTGGAAAAGTCGTCCCACTGTCAGCAATTTCTGAAAACAGAAGACAACCTCCAATGGCTTCCTCATGATGAAACAGATTCTACAGGAGCCTTGTGATCTGTGGGTATGGCGGGAAGCACTGGAAATGTTTTACTTCTGACAAGCTACGGTCACTGATGACATCACCAAAAACAAAAGGAACTGGTAACGTCCACTGGATCCAGTTATAAAAGAGGAACCAAGGTGTTTAGAAATTGTAGAATCATAGAATAATTGGGTTGGAAGGGGCCTATAAGGCCATCGAGCCCAACCCCTTGCTCAATGCAGGGATCCAAATCAAAGCAGATCTGACAGATGGTTGTCCAATTTTTTTCTTGAATGATTCCAGTGCTGGAGAGTGCTCACCACCTACCAAGGTAATTGGTTCCATTGTCATATTGCTCTAACAGTTAAGAAGTTTTTCCTGATACTCAGCCTAAATCTGGTTTCCTTTAGCTTGATCCCATTATTATGTGTATTATTGCTGCTTTATTACAGTTTAAAACCTGCCCCCAAAGGTTTTATTACAGTTTAAAACTTGCCCGGACAGTTTATGGCCTTCTTCAAGGGCTAGACTAAGAAAACAAGCGGCACTACTGAACAGTCAAAGTGGGGCCCTACTAAACATTAGAAATAAAAGATCTGGAATTCCTCTGGTCATGCATTTCATGGAAAACAACCATTCTATAATGGATTTACAGTTCTGGGTTATAGACGCTGTCCACACAAGTAATGAGAAGGCTCAAGTGAAAAGGGAAATTGACTGGAAACTGAGACTGGGTGCACTGGCTCCCTGAGATCTAAACAGAGGTGCATCTACTAGAAACTAATGATGCTTAAGCTTCAGGACTCCTAATTCTGAAAGGGCCCTAGAAGTAACTTTAGTCCATATTTTTGAAAAAATTGAAGAATATAACAGTGTTGCTGGCTGTGAAGGGGCCCCGTAAGAGTTCAAGCTTCAGGGTCCTCAAAATGTAGGTCTACCACCGGGGCTAAAAAAAAGAACTATTTGCCCTCATTCTTTAGCAGTGCCACTTCTTGCATACATTCCACAGGCCTTGCAGGCTGGTAGTCTGTGCAGTAATCAAGAGCGATCCTGACTAAGAGCTGCAGTAAGATAATATACCCATAAGTATGGGATCTTTCTTCTATTACATCCTAAGTAGTCTAGTGGGATTGTGAAACATACCGAAAAAGAGATTTAGTATACACTACATACCAAGGGTATGTATCAAATATAATGGCTACGCATGTTAATTAAATGTAATTAATAATGTTTTATGAATGTTCTTATTGTAAACAATGTATATTAAAGTTCTAGATAGTTGTATCTAATGTAAAAATGGTAAACTGAGATGCTGGGTTGAGGTTGGCAGGAGCTGGGACAGGCGACGGGAGCTCACTCCGTCGCGTGGATTCGATCTTACAACTGCTTGGTCTTCTGACCCAGCAGCACAGGCTTCTGCGGTTTAGCCCACAGCGCCACCACGTCCCTCTAAAGTTCTAGATAGTTGTATGTAATGTAAAAATGGTAAACTAAGATGCTGGGTTTGACTGTGATTATCATTGTGCCTCTTTAATGTATTGTCCCTCTTTGTTTTCTCTGTATAGCACCTAAAGACAGCCATAAACTGTTTGGACTGAAATGCATTGGGTTTATTACAGTTCTAAACTGTAACGAACTACAGTTGGAATGCATCCTGAGACTCTTGTCTCTCTTTCATAACCTGTTCACATCATCAGTTCCTGTCTGAAGAGGACTTCAGCCAGTGAGGGCCACCATGCTTTTTGGCTACAACAGTCCTCTATTCTTTTTTTAAATTCCCAGTCATACTAACTTCCTCGGGAAAATATTAGGTGTCATCACAGAGATTCTAACTTATGGCAACTGCTTCCAGTTTTCTATGTGGAGAAGCAGAATTACCATTTTCTTCTGGGGAGTTCTCTGGGATCATGTCGTTCAAGAATTTCATTGAGAACTTCTGCTAGCATTAAGAGTAGCTGCACAAACTCTGGTGGTGAATTGTTGCATTCCTATTCATATGACTAGCATGTGACTATCAACATGAGTGCCAACTTGATAATGAAGAGCAATTGGCCAGAGATTTACAAAATGACATCCACACCCGTGTAATTCCACCTAAGCCCAGTTAGTCCCGGCTAAAGTGGACACATTAAACAGTTTGTTGAATTACTTTTCAGTAACTAATTCAGCAGTCCACACCACCTGGAACTAACTACTGTATTTTGGTTAATAAGTTTAAAATAAAAGGCAAAAGGCAATGCTCCTTCAAGGGGGAAATTAGGTTTCTTTTTCAGGTGTGTTCTCAGGCCACTTCTGCTGTCCTTCAGAACTTATTTTGCAATCTTGTGGAGAAAAATGATATGGATCCAATTTATGAGCTCTGGTATCAGTATTATTTCCACTGCTAAATGAAGCTGTAGTTATTAAGCGTTATGGAATGCTACCACAATAAATAAGATTTTTTTTTGCTAGACATAATGCTGCCTCTGCATGTCTGAACCAAAGCAATAGCTTACCACAGACACACATCAGAAATACAGTGCGTCAAAGCTAGAGAAATGAGTCATCACAGTCATGATCTAGAGACAGCCTGTTTATATGCACACAAGAGACTGCACAGAGAAATCAGGACTTGGGAAGCTTTTTATTAGCACATAAGCCTCCTCTTCCTTATCACTCCCTCTGCAACAAATATTTATTTATTTATTTTATTTTATTTATATCCCGCCCATCTGGTTTGGTCAACCACTCTGGGCGGCTTCCAATAAGGTGTATACGAACACATAAAAATTTTACAAACAGTCCATAACACAATATTGTGTTATCAGCTACTTTTGTAACACTTGAAGAGGAGAAATGTACCATTTTAAACTCACCTCAACAAAGGAATTACAAGGCAATTATCATGCTGATCATTTGATATAAAAATATACAGTCTGATAAAGCATAGTACCATATGAGTGGTCAAAGGGCAAGACAGCATTATTTTGGCTAAAGCAGGGCAGGCTTCACAAACCCCATGACATGGCAAGAGCTACATATTAAACATCAAATGCCTTCCCTTTTAGGAAAAAAGAAAAAGCTAATGATAAATTCACAGTTACTGTGAAGATACTCAGTGGAGCCAAGATGGAGACAGAGGAACACACAAGAGAATGGTCTACTTCACTGCAGATATTCAGCCCTGGTGAAGAAACCTTCCCTTGCAGTTTAACACAAACCTCCACATGGAATATTAAAAATGGCAGTGGATTAAGAAACTAAAATCAGAAGTAGGTTTTATATTTATATAGAAATGCGCTATTTCTGGAAATATGCAAATACTTGGGAATGGATCACAGCTGAAGAGCAGAAAAAGGTCCCAAGTGTAAACTCTGGTAACTCCAGTTCAAAAAGGATCAAGTAATGGCGATGAAAAAGACTTCTGTCTCAGATCCAAGAGAACTACTTACGGCCAGAGTAGACAACCGAATGCTGAAAGAACGAAGTAATCTGAGCCAGGATAAGATAGCTTTCCATGTTTATATTTAAACTCTAGCCAACAAAGGTCTCAGTACATACATCTCATTCTTGCAGTATGGGGATTTAAACAGATAATGGTCAAAATCTTGTCTTGACAATAAATTCTGCAAGAGTAGGCTCATTGAATCATTGGGGATTTAGTGAGTCAACACTTCCATAAGTTCCACTGAGTCAAACAGGCCTACTCTAACTGCAAATAACTATGGAGGAGTAGACTTGCCCACTCTTCATTGAGTCAATGGGCCCACTCTAGTGCGATTTACTGTGCTAAGCAACAGGATTTTGGCCAATGTCTTGCCTGATGTTACTTGATCAATTTTGTCTAATTTAATTTAATCTGGCTTTGAAAATGGCAAATATGTTAAAACCGATGAAGGAAAAAGAGGTTCAGTGTGTTTACATGTGCTGGTCCTCATTTCTGAGAAGTTCACACTAATGCAGTTGCATTACTCTTCCCTGATGTGTTTTGTTGAGCAGGGGCCACCCCTTCACACAAAATGGATTCCTATATGGCAATCTTGTGGATACAAAAGGGCAAAATATGTTTGCATCCCTTTTAAAGAGTTTTTTTTCAATTTTACTCTGAAAAACTGTACTTTCACACAGAAAATTTCTGTGCCACTGAAGTATTCATGATCCTTTGATGTCATGTTTCTCCAGAGAAAGAGCAAACATTCTCTTCAGCACCAGTTAAAACACTTTTTAAACTAACTATCCCACAAAGGACAACTCGTGTGTCATCTGTGAGCATCCTAAAGTTGTTTGGCACTTCAGGAGAGTCCTAAACAAGTGCTTTCCTTTAGAGCACTCATGTAATTCTAGATATTAGACTAGAAACATTACAGCATTGCCTTACAGTAAGAACTTCACAAAAAAACAGAGAACTTTGTGTTTGAAAAACACTGCAGATTATAGACACTGAAAAATTCACAGTGACTTTTGGGGTAGAAAAAAGAAAGCCACTTTAATGCACTACTCAGAGACATGAAGCATATGATCTGTAGAACAAGACCAATTTCAGAAGGAGGAATATACCAAAAGGCATCTTTCAATAGAAACGTTAGGTCAATATGCAGCAGTATTGTACAGTACTTTCATTTTTTCTCCCCCTGTGAAGTAGTTGATCAGTTTAAAAAGTATGTGTATCTATTACACATGGAATGCTTTGAAAGCTGATTTCTGTTCCAAAGTGATTTGGAATTAGATTGTGAAAGTAAATTGGCTAACAGCACAATATCCAAAAGGACTTGGCATTCACATAATGCTATCAATGTCCCAGCTCAATAGTTTGCCCTATTAAACCTGCATTTTTGAAACACAGAGTAGTCTCTTCGTCTACCCTGGTAACATGAATATTTCACTGTTTTATTTATTTATTGTTGCATTATGAAAAAGATTGTTTCTCAATAAGCAGAATATATAAAACATTTAGCAGTCATATGAAATTTAAAGAAAGATGGTATTTGTCAAAACGGAGATGCAATGAGAATTACATAGATTGAAAGGCAGGCAGTGAAAGCAAATAAATAACTGTTTCAATGTTAGATAACTTCTTAGTGTTTGTCAACATTTGAACTCTCAGCACCTTGAAATACGATCACTTTAACACGCACAATCCTAGGGCAATGCTAATTGCTGCAGCATAGAAACCGGAATGGAAGGAGATCAGGCATAGTTGCAGGCTATTCATATAAGCAGCCAGAAGGAGCATTTTCAACAGCAGCTGTTTTACAAGACAGTCAATGAGCTCATGTAGTCAGGAAAACCTTCTGAGAGTTCCCATTTGTTCATCCACCCGAAATTAGTGCATTGTACAAAAGTTAAAAAATACTTCTGAGTTTCAATTAGCTGCACTTGATTCAAGTGTGGCTCGTGGAGGTTTCAGACGTTTTAAGTTAAACCACGTTGCTACCTCAGCAGTCAAGTGTACCACAAAGGGATCTGTCCAAAGGATAGGCATTGTTTTCTCTCCCAAAGTTATCTCACTCCAATTCGGGAAGTCATCCATTCCAGACCTTGGCATAATCTGGAGGAGGGAGAAGATGAAAACTCAAACTTTAGTAAAGAGAAAGGGTGTAAATCCACTGTCTCCATTTTAACAGACTGCACTGATTTGGCTTCCAATTCACAAAACGTATTTCAAAATATAGCTTTTATATTCATTTTAAAAACGAGGATGTTTTGAAAGACAAGCAATGTTTGCATATCTATACAGTAACATGAAAAACTACTCTGGAGACTTTACTAAAAGCTATCTGGGAGCATTATTAGACAACAATACAGCTAGCCTATGTAACATGAGAATGTCTGTTCTTCTGCCTTTGGTTCAAAGGGCATGCTACATAAATGGAAGTCCCTTCAATTTGTGCCAACAATTTGCCAATGAGGAGTGATTTTCCTCTTTCACTGTTAGTTCACCCACCCCTCCATTTTGGGAAAGGGAGCAAAAAACGTTCTGGAAAGGAGATCAGGATCAAAGCCCACTGTATTTAAACTGGTGCTGTATGAGAATCCATACGTTTCTGCATGTACATTTTTCCAGTTCAAGCGCATAATCAGGACATAATTGTAGACAAAAAAAACCCTATTTTTTTTCTCCAACATGTATATACAAAGACAACACCTTACAGACACAGTGCTGTATTTTAAAAGAGATGGGCAAAGTGTACCTTCCAGAGTGATGGACTGCAACTCCTAGCATGTCTGACTATGCTGTGAGGTGCATTCCAACTACATCTTCAGGGTAGCATTTTGATAATCCCTAGTGACAGCCTATCACTATAATGTGGGCAACACCTAAGTACAAGGAAGCTGTGGAGACAGCCAAATGAGTACTGATTAATCAGCGTTTCCTTTAATAAAATGTTTCTAATTCTCATGCTTAGGAGTAGAAGCTGAAAAGTGGGGTGGGTTTTTTTTTAAGATACAGAAAGTAGAAAGCTGTGCAGAACGTAGATCTTCTCATTACACTGTCATTATTTTGAAGTCCAACTTATGACCAAGCGCTGCTTTTCTACATTTCCAGGGAAGCAATACCAAGGCTCTTGCTCATTCCAGAAAACAGAAAAGAACAGCTGGCTAGGGGGGAAAAAACCTATTACTAAACCAAGAGGAATTATTCCACATAGGACACCATTCTCAGGCTCTACTGCTTAATTTTAGAGCGCTACAGTGATTTTTATCCTATTAGACACAGGTGGAGATACACTATGCCCAGGTCTAGCATGTCATTTTCCTGCCCGTGCCAAAACAGCAAATGGCAACCCCTTCACCAAAGTTAAGCTGTTAACCAGCCAACTTATTCTGGCTCCTGAGGTTTAAAAAAAATCTCACAATTGCTTTTCCTTTCCTAGAAGTTTTAAAAAAATACAGCAATGAAATAAGGGTGGCAAAAGGAGTTGCTCTTTGAAGACAGCCAAAATCTGCTGTCTGATGATAAAACCAGACTTGACTCTGCAAGTAAAAAAAAAAAGCTATAATGCCAAAAGTTCTGGGTCAGGCTGTTCCCTAGTATGCTAGTTTTTCTTTCCTGTCCTCCCTCATGACATGCAGGGATTTGTTTTATTAGGGAAGCATTCCGGAATAAGATCTACTGGCCTTTTTTTATTATTATTTCAGAATATTACCACTCCATTCTGCTCCATGTGTTAAGCAGGCACCAGATAAAGAACACTTCTCAGTTGAAAGGAAGTTTGCTGGAAAGATTTACAAATTATACAGGCAAGACTGCACACTTACAATGGTGATAGTGACTAGAAAAACACTGCTGAACAAAAAAATTCACTTGTGGAATTCCGCTGTCTTTTAAAAGAGCAATGTATGTGAACTAAGAATGGCTGGTGTTTCAAATATAACACAAGCTCATTTGAAAAAGTCTTTTCTGAAGTCAAAGCAGCAACAGGAGGTTTCCCGAAAATGTTGAAGCAGAAGCTTTTCTGATGCTAAATTGATGAAGATCGAATCTAGCGCATCTGATTTCTATCATCATTTTCCAATTTTTTTCTCTAGCAGTCAGACATATTTGGATTGAACTATCTGACTGCCTGAAAAACCAGTAACAGATTATTCACAATTATGTAAACAACCTGCTCAAAGCTTTACTTGGACATTCCCTCATGGGAATACATGTGATTATTTAATACTGGACAACTCATCAAATACTACCTTCCACTGTAACTTTTATGAAAGAAGTAAAAATGAAATCCTAAGAATATCTAGCCTGGTGTTTATAAACAAGATATTCTGTTTCCCCCCAAAATAAGACCTAACCTGAAAATAAGCCCTAGTATGATTTTTCAGGATGCTTGTAATGTAAGCCCTACCCCAAAATAAACCCTAGTTAAGTGAAACCCCGCCCTCCACCATTGTGCAGCAACCAGAAGATGATGACATGCCTGTATTTGAATAAATGCAGATTGTTGTACATGAAAAAATAAAAATAAAACATCCCCTGAAAATAAGCCCTAATGCATTTTTGGAGCAAAAATTAATACACGTCCCTGTCTTATTTTCAGGGAAACATGGTAGCTAGGGACCACTTTTAATTTTAAGTGCATCACTCCTTATCTGAGCAACTTCCAATATCAGTGAAAATTTTAAAATTAGGATGCACTAATGTAAGCGTCAAACAGAAAAATCAGATGTTGCTAGCTTACCCCTCTCCTGTTAGTGCACAACAGGACTGAATATGCCAGGGATGATCTTTTATGGAACTAAGTGTGAGGTATTTGGAAATTTCAGCTGCTGTCATACAGCCTTTCATATCTTGCTTGTTTGCAAATATGAGAACTGCAGCTTTCCTCAAATCCTGTAAATGGTGGACAGAGTAAGAAAGAGGAAACTTGTGTTAAAGGTCTTAATAACTACTACTGTACATAATCTTTAACATTAGAAATAATAATGCTACACTCACACACATACGCACAAAAACATTTTAAATGTTTCAGGCTTCAGTTTTATGCAGTAGTCATAAAACTCCCAACTGCACATACATGGACTGAAAAATGGTTCCCTCTATATTCTTTCTTCTGCAGCATTAACTTCTATCTCCACTTTAAGATTAATGGTAAGGAAATCCTATATAACCAAGGTTTGTGAGCACAATCCATTTGGTGCGTACAGAACTAAGAAACCATAAAAAGTGAGTAAAGCTGCTGCATCAGTGTGCATTTTTGTGAATGTGCATATTTTTAAAAACAGCTGTGATACAGAGGTGCTATTCCATGAGAAAGTACTTCAATTTGCAGCACTGATTTCTGACAACCTCCACCCCACTTTCTGCAGCCCACTGCCTTTCCCGCGATAGCAGAATTACTTTTCACTGATGCAACACTTCAGATCGAACCCAAAGTTCACATTCCTAGAATTTACACAAAATACAAGGCAAGTAAAATTCAAAGTACCTCGTGTGCCAACATTCTGTAGAGTTCTTCTTTTGTGATGGACAGTCTCTCGCGATCAATGCTATCAACTACAAGGATGATAAACTGTGGAAAAGAATAAAAATTGAACAAAGAACCAAAGGGACAAGTTTGCAAGTAGGCAGAATCCCAGACTATGATAAAACTGCAACCATATAGGTCTGTCACAGCAGAACAACTAAATGTGTTAGCTTTTTAGCAGCCAGAAGACTCTACTGTTTTATAGCATTATTCTTGTTTATAAGCCACTCATGGGTTGCCATGCAATGCATGCAGCCAGTGTTATTCTCATCATAACAACTGCAGAAGTAACCCAGCTAGCGCTTCCCTACCCCCTTGCAAATCTGACTGCTTCAAAGCTGAGCAGGGAGATTCATCATTCTGGCTCCTCGCTGGAGTGGCCGACTGCCTGGGGAGGTGGGGAACTGCAGGCCAAGCTACTTCCATGATTAGCATAATGAAAATGATGCTGGCCGCGTGTGCCATGTGGTCACCAATAATTGGACCTGCCAGTTCATGGAGGGAAGGAACACTCTAGGGAAGCCGCCTAGAGTGGCCCGGTGGGCCAGACAGGCGGGGTATAAATCTTTAATTTTAAAAAAACTGGACTTCCCAGGAATCCGATACTCCCACGTCTAATCAATACTAAGACCTCCTTCTGACAAAAGTGGGAAGAAATCACCTCCTATGGCTTGCAAAGATATCAGAGGCAAATCTCAAAGCACATTTCCATCACTTTCTCTTCAATTATTTCCCTTGGTCTCCCTCTTGGACTTTTAAGTACAGTATTGCTAGCCATATCAGCTAAAGCGGTAACATGATACTGATCCTGTGAGGCTCTTTGTACTATTTCCATGCATGGTTGCCATGACAGCTATGATAGATTAAAATGCCTGAAGCAGGTATAACATGAACCTACCTCTGTATTTGAATAATAGGTATTCCAGGAGGATCGTAAGGATTCCTGCCCTCCAATATCCCACATGAGGAAATGAGTGTTTTTAACTACAATTTCTTCAACATTGCTTCCTATGGTGGGAGAAGTGTGGACCACCTCGTTCATTAAGCTGAAAGATTGGGAGAAAGCAGTGTGATGAGCAAAATAGAGAATGCAGTTCAACAAAATATATAGGATAACACATCTTTTGGATTAAAAATTATATTATTCAATAAAACTGACCTTTTATTAAATGTAACCAGGCAGGGCCCCAGAGTTAACTTTAAAAAGACTTTCATATGAATATGAAAAAAATATGCCTTTGATAAGTTTTAGCGATGCAGGTATTCGTATTCGAATATCCCCACACAGGCTGAAATAACGAGGGTTATTTCGCTGCAGCTGCCGGCTCTGTGGAGGCTTCCTATCGTGCTGTTCTCCACAATGGATTAGCCACTCTCCAACCTAGCAGATAGGCTTGTCATCCCGCCTCCTGCCAAGACAGGGTAATCGATTGTGGACAATGGCATGATAGGAAGCCTCTGCGGAGCCAGCGGTGAAATAATGAATGAACAATCCTGCCCCATGGGGCTGGACCCTAATTATTTCATGTTCGTATACAAACACCCCCATCTCTAATCAGCTTCAACCAAAATTTTCAACATCATCACAGGCATAGGTCCATGACTGTTGAAAAACATTGACATGAACTTGGAAATACAATTAGTGAGCAAACAGCCATTTCATGATCACTATTGAAAAGGTGCATCTTTTTGAGGTGGCAAACAGTTCACAATAGCCATGGTCAAAAGTTCACCCCTTATGCAACTCAAATTATGGGCAAGGAGAATGGGGACAGGCTTGATGGATTCATATACTCAACAGTATCCTCACTGTCCGTATCTGCAACATTCTACACTTTTGGTCTAAATGCAGTAAGCCAAGTCTATCTGAAGAGGCTTCAGAGACCTACCCAACACAGATGTCTACATATATAAAAATCAGGGTTCTTAGTTATACAGGGACACTAAATGCTTCCTGCTGCAAAACCAATCCCTTTTGGTAGGCAAAGGAAGGGTGGCCCCCTGTGGCTCTCTATGTATTTTGTTACTCCTATTATTCCTCACCATTTGCTATGGTGGCTACTGCTGATGGCAGCGGTCGTGTAAAAATCATCCAGAGGACCGCAGCTGTCCATCCCTGATGTAGAGGACCATCAGATGGATGATGAGAAGGTTGGAACCAAGAGAAACATTGCTATTTTCCCCATCACATTATGGTAAAGGAAAGAAACAATCATTTGAATAGGACTATGATTAAAAGTTCTGGTTTTGCAGCCCAAAATTAGCAACATTCAATGTTCTTTGGGCCATCAACCATATGGGTAATTATATCAACAAGAGTACATTGTCCTTCCACCAGTGAAACTATACGGACTATCAATAACAAACTAAATGCAAGTTACTATAAAATGAAAAAAAGCTTCTTTGAAGACATTCAAGTTTGAAAAACACAATTTCTAGCTTCCAAGCCATGAAGATACGGAGAAATCTGACACTGGGGAATTTACAGGCAAACTTCTTTAAAACTAAAAAATACATTATTTTTCCAAAATACGTAAAACTAGTCCCAAGCATTAAATAACAATCAGATTCATATCTCCAAATAATCTATTTAAAATACTTACAACTGGTACAAAATGGTGGTCTTTCCAGCATTATCGAGTCCCACAATTATCACTTTGTGTTCTACAATACATAAAAGTGAACATTTGTGAGTAGTTGCAATCTTCAAATCACCTCACATTTTTCAGTGATCAACAATTCCAAAAAACTGACAGTTCCTAATTTTTCTTAATGAAATCACACAATTAACATACTGCTAAGATATTCAAAATGATTTCCTCATACAACTGTATTACAGTATCAACAATTAGACCTGGAAATCATAAATGAAACCTCTGCATACTATCAAACATGACACACAGGTGGTCGGAAGTTCCTCAAATTTTATTAAATGGTAGAAGATTTTGACAATATTTACAGTAGCTCTTTCCCCATTAAAAGCACATGTGAAGTATTTTCACTACCTTTTCTGCAAGATTTCAGCAGACATTGCTTTTGGCAATACAATGACCCTCTACTTATACCCATATATGGAAGCTGAATGGATGCTTTTGAATTGTGGTGCTGGAGGAGACTTTTGTGAGTCCCCTGGACTGTAAGGAGAACAAACCTATCCATTCTGAAAGAAGTCAACACTCTCACTGGAAGGACAGATCCTGAAGCTGAGGCTCCAATACTTTGGCCATATCATGAGAAGACTCCCTGGAAAAGACCCTGATGTTGGGAAAGTGTGAAGGCAACAGGAGAAGGGGACGACAGAGGATGAGATGGTTGGACAGTGTCATCGAAGCTACCAACATGAATTTGACCCAACTCCAGGAGGCAGTGGAAGACAGGAGGGCCTGGCGTGCTCTGGTCCATGGGGTCATGAAGAGTCGGACATGACTAAACAACTAAACAACAAAAATGGAAGCTGTTTGTAGTTTGAAACCTAAGCAATTAAGGCAATATTGTTCCTACTTCAGCTTTACACTTCTCTGACTTCCAGCTACTGTGGAAGCATCTTTCTATACTGTACAAACAATCCTTATGGTGAAGATGTCTGGCTGTTGCTGATAACTGTTAACACGTGGAAGTCTTTTTAAAGTTAACTCTGGGGCCCTGACTGGTTACATCTAATAAAAGGTCAATAATGAACTGCTGGATAGCTCAATGGTTTATGTAAAGGGTGGGAGTTCAATTACCCTCCATCCCTCTCTGACTCTATGATCCATAAGGTCCCTTCATGCTTTGCAGTTCTAGGATTATTATATTGTTACCAAAAATATACTTTTGCACAGCCACCCCCTTTCCAAAACGGAGGGACTCCATTAGAATGGTTGAAAGTCTTCATTATACTGTACCTACGTTCCATAATGCTTTATATTTAAAAAAAGCATGCCTACAAGGCAGTTATTATGTTCCATCACCCAAGTTTTAAAATGGTTATCTTAGAACACCACACGATGTATCCTGCACACTGATGCCATTTGTATTGCCGCAAAATCCTAAAAAAAACCCCCTGCAAATTTGAATATAGAAAAGGAAAAACATCTTGCTGTTAAGCAGATGCTCTACGCAAAAGCTCCAGATGTTTGCACTGAACAGGGTGTTGGTTCTAAATGTCTCACTTACAATTAAGCACTAGTCCAACATATGCCAAATACCTATGAGACACATAAAAGTGAGTACAAAAAGCTTTACAGATTTTTGTGGGAACATTTTCAGATAATCCCTTTATCTCCTGTAAAGGGTACAACCCATACATTTTACTAACAGGGAGGATTATTGGACTTCCCCTCCCTTGAAAGCAACTTCTCAGAACACACTTTTAATGACCTCCCCCCTCCCTGAAGCCTACTGCACCGCCAAAAGCTTCAACTACCTTTCGACCTTAATACCACCCACAATTTTATTACCAGCTCACCTGAAAACATGTTGCTATAAAATATCCTATATAATTGCAGGACAAAGGACCTCCTAGTCTCTCTACCTGAAGCAACAATCCCAGCCACATTTCATGTTCCCTGCATACTCACAACCTCCCCTTTTTCCTAAACAGTAAATGTGTGTGCACCAAACACCCAAAGACAACAAGTTGGGTTGTTCGCTCAGCAACAGGTTAGATCCCACCTCCTAAGGTACCGACTGAAGCCCTCCCACTTTCTGCTGTTTCTTCCTTTCTCAGCCCACCATCCACTCCACTGAAAACCTTCCCCTGACCCGCCCCCAAATCCTTCCCACCAGTCCAGGGTGGCTCTTTCCCAACTCTTCCAGCCTTAGGAACTCAAGACGAGAGTTGATGAGATGCAGGTTCAAATCCCAGTTTGGGGCACAGCGCTCCAGGAAGCGGATCCACTCCCTCTCTCTATCTCTCTCAACGTTCAGCCCACCTCAAAGGGCTGTTGTAAGGATGAAACAGTATGCCCGAGGTTTTCTAATGGAACGACACCCCCCAAAAAACACAATTAAGTGATAACAACAGAATAAGCATCTCCTCTCTCAACCCAACGAGAATCCCCTTCCTCGCTCTCCCAAAGAGAGGCGTTTTCCTCCTTTCTGCCACACCACACACCACACACCCTTGTCATCCCCCCCATGCTTTCACCCTCCCATGGCCTCCCGCAGGGCCCCCTGTGAATCGGCCCTACTCGGGTAACATTCCCACCCACCCCAAAGCCATCTCCCCTTCCTACACCAACGCCTGACCTGGTGCCCGCAGAGCAGCGAGAGGCGCCGCCGATGCGGTCGCCTCCTCCTCCGCCGCCGCCCGTTCCACTCACCTTGGTTACAGAATAAACTCCACAGCTTAGCAAAGATCAGCCCCATCCCCACCCGGGAGCCGAGGAGCGAGCGAGCGAGCGGCGGCTTCCCACTCCTTAACGAACTCTGCCTGCCAGCTAGCCGGCGAAGCCCCGCACAAGTGGGCGGGACCGAAACCGGCAGAGCCCCTCCTCCTCTCGCGGCCGAGGCAGCTTTCAACCACCCAAGCAACAATCCCAGCCTTACTCATCCTTCCTTCCTTTCCCAGCCCCTTCACGTCATCACGTTCGGACCGGACGGAAGACCTTACGCGACATGACTGGAGATGACGTCACGCGATGACACAAGGCCGAAACCGGAATGTTGTTTTCCCTCTCCGCTCTTGTCCTAGAGGTACGTTGACAACATGCCCCTTCACATCCGGTTTTCATTTGGCAGGCGCCATATGAGGGGTAAGTAGGGATGAGTGCAACCGGAACTTCTTTCTTTGCCTTCGTTGAGTTCCATAGGAACTGGAAGTTTAATGCTTTCATTGAGGACTGTGCCCCTTTTCTCTAAGAAGGGGATTGCGTTGTGCTCCTGTGATACGAGCTAACTTCCTTTTTTGACAAAGATTTCTTTTTTTTTTTTAAGCAAATCTAACAGTAGTAGTCATTTAAAAAACTATCAGGCAAAGTCAGAGAAACTAATTAAAATAAAAACTTGGATACCTTTTTAAATTTTATCTTATCATTATTACGGTCAATGACCACGAAGATAAAAATACATTTTTAAGATAAAATCACATAATGTCAGAGACATTGGACAGACCAGTCAGTGGTCTGGCTCTTACGATAGTAAAGTTTAAAAAAAAAAGTTCTAGGTTAGCCAGCACCACTGAAAGATATAAAAGCTTTTAAAAACATCACACCAGTCACATAACGTAAGATGAAATTAGGAGACACATATAACCATGTGACACCTTAAAAACTACTATATTTTAATGTGAGCTTTCGTGGATCAACTCTACCTCAGTGTAATACGTAGTCTTTAAGGTGCCACATGTTTCTCGGTTTGTTTCTTCGGATTTTGCCTGACCTGGTTGCACATGCGAACCAGTTACCTCTTCTAAAATTTAAAGAGAAACCTTTCTAGTGTAGCGGAAAGCTTTTGCAGACCAATCAACAGAGCACAAAAAAATGGGTGTATTTCAAGAAAGGGGTGTTCTATGGCTATTGCTTAGACGGCGTGATTGCTTTCCCAGTTGCAACCTTTCGACTGAACCCAGAGCCACTGAAGTCGAAAGGGGGAAGGAAAAGGTGTCAGGCCATTTTATGGTGCCCATCTGCCCAGAGGCCACTCCAGGAATCCGAGCAAGCCCCACCGACTGCGACGCAACTTGCCCTCCGAGTATTTCGGAAGCCTAAGGCAACGGGCCGTGCAAAGCTCCAGGAAGGAGGAAGGTGGCAGCGGCGAGCATAGGGAAGGCAGGGCTGGGCGCTCTCGTCCGGCAGAGCTTCCTCGGATGTGGCTGCCTTGAAGGCGGGAGGTGGAAGGTAGGGAACCGGGCCCTATTAGCGCCCGGCGCTGTGGTCGGGAACGGGAGAAAGAAACAGGGAGAGACGCCGCTGCCTCTTTGCTTCCCTCAGTGCAAGGGAGGGGGGGGATAATGGCGACGCCGTTCCTAACTCGGCTTTCTTCCCGCCGCCCTCGCCCAGCTAGGACTTGGTGTGGCGCAGGACAGCAGATGGCGCTAAGCTTTGAGGGAGCGGCGCCGGTGCGGCTGTTTCCTCCCCCCTCACGAATCGATGTTTGGGAGAGGGGAAAGGAGAGCCTCTCTTTTCAAAATGGCCGCTGCCTTTGCTGGCGAGGGAAAAGGGAGTGAGGAGGGCACTCGTGAGGGTAGCTGGTGCTTGGAGGGAAGTTGGGGGTTGTAGGAAGTCTTGGTTATGACTGACCCTCAAGCTCCTCCTGGCCCGTTCGTTCTCCTTTGGCCGAAACATAGATGCCGGTTTAGCCTCCCGGAACCGTCGTTGAAGAGATGGTGGCAATCAATCAATCAATCAATCAATCAATCAATCAATCAATCAATCAATCAATCAATCAATCAATCAAGCAGTATATTAAGTATATCCCTCTATGAGGAGAACAGTGGCAGAGCTTGCGTTATTTTGTTTTCCTACATGTGCTATTGGGCTTGGTCGGGCATAGGTGTTCACACCTGGCGCTAAATTCAAGTGACTGTCAAAGGCTGCATATTTCGCTGAAAAATGATGGTTTTGTATGCAGACCTGGAATTGAAAATAGGAAGCAGTGGGAAGGTTACAAAGCAGCTCAGTACTAGTGGCCAATAATCGTTTTGGGAAATAAAATAGCGTTTACCAAAGTCACAGAGGAATTTATACTTCAAAGAAAACCTGGAGAGAAGCAAAAGGTGTATGATACTGCACATCTCAAAACTATGTGAAACATGGCCGTGATAGTGGAATAAAAATGAATTAGTACAGCAGTCCATAGTAGGATTGTTGTATTACATGCAATTTTTAGAAAAATGATGGCCTCTACTTGACCCTGAAAGACTGACATCCCATTTTCACACGTTCTCTAATTTTGTTACGGTATATTGAATAAATGGATTTGGGACTATGATCTGATTTTTTGCCTAGCTCATTAATGTTCAGATATAACATTTCAAGTCAACTAAAACATGTTTTGTAGCTAGACATCATTTAACTGTTTCCACATAGTTTAAGTTGATAATAACTTGGGTAGCTTTTTTTAGACTGCTATTCATTCACAAGTTCACAACTAATTTGAATTGGTCCCTTAAAATCAGCATTGGGATTTTTGCAAGGCTATGTATATATATGGAGGGAAAGTTATGTGTTTTGTTGCTTAGACCAGAGGTCCCCAACCCCCGGTCTGTAGCCTGGGTTGCGGAGAAAGACCTTCCACCCCACCCCGCACGCACTCACCCCTGCAGAGCTGATTTGCACATGTGCGTGCGCTCCAGCACGCCCATGTGAGCACCATGCCACCGTTTGCGCCTGCGCAACCACAGAAGTGCCACAGTGCCATTCATGCATGTGCATGAGTGTGGGGGGTGCCCCACCTTCCCCAGCCGGTCCACGGCTGGAAAAATGTTGGGGACCCATTACTGTGATGGATCACAATTACCAAATGCATGTGATTGATATACTTTGAATATCTGAAAGCATTAGAGCAGTGGTTCTGAACCTTGGGTCCCCAGATGTTCTTGTACTGTAACTCCCAGAAATCCTGGCGAGCACAGCTAGTGGTGTTCAGGGTTCTGGGAGGTTTAGTCAAAGAACATCTGGGGAACTTGGAACCACTGCATTAGAGCAACGTTAAATATTGTAAGAGCCCTGCTGGGTCAAATACCAGTATTTTCCCCCAGGAGCCAACCAGATACTTATTTAATTGTTATTTGTCAGTGTCCCCACTCCCTGTGTGTGGTACAGTGGTGCCTCGCTTAGCGAGCACTCCATTTTGCGACAAAATCGCTTTGCGACACATTTTTTGCGATCGCTTTCCCTTTGTGATGACCGGTTCCCTGCTTTGGGAACCAAGCATCGCAAAGCAATGATTTTTTAACAGCTGATCGGCGGTTTCAAAATAGTCGCCGGGTAAACAAAATGGCCACCCGCTGTTTTCTGGGATGGATTCCTCGCTTACCAGGCAGGGAAAATGGCGGCGCTATGGAGGATCTTCGCTGAACGGTGAGTTTTAAGCCCATGGGAATGCATTAATCAGGTTTTAATGTGTTTCTATGGACTTTTTAATTTCACATTGCGACGTTTTCGTTCAACAGTGATTTTTGCGGAATGAATTAACGTTGCAATGCGAGGCACCACTGTAAATCCACTACAGTGGTGCCTCGGAAGACGATGTTAATTCTTTCAGCGAAAATCGCTGTCTTGCGAAAACATCTTGCGAAACACGGTTCCCCATTGGAATGCATTGAAATCTATTTAATGCGTTCCAATGGGGGGGGGAACCACCTTGCGAAGCATCAGTCTAAAAAAACCCGTCTTGCGAAGCATAGACCCAAACATCGTCTTGCGAAAATCGTCCATAGGAAAAACCATCTTGCGAAGCGCAACAGTGATCGCAAAAAGCCATCGTCTTGCGGATTAATCGTCCCGTGAGGCAATTGTCTTGCGAGGTACCACTGTACTTTGAAAACTATGTTAGAGCCCTTATAAGTTGGATGCAGCTTGATAGCACATAAGATCATATTAAATGACCTTTGTTAATTTCCTTAAAAATGGTTACATTATTATGCACATAATACAATCAGATTTATCATATAGGAGATGAAATGCAGCTTCTTGCTTTGAAGTTTAAACTATCACAGTTTGGAAATGATAGTAATAGTTATTTAGTGAATGTTAGAACTGATAAAATGATAAGACAGTGGCTTACTTTTAAAATTGATTACATGTTGTAGATCTCAAAAAACCATTGTCTTGCGGATTAATTGTCCTGTGAGGCAATCGTCTTGCAAGGCACCACTGTACTTTGAAAACTACGTTAGAGCCCTTATAAGTTGGATGCAGCTTGATAGCACTTAAGAACATATTAAATGACCTTTGTTAATTTCCTTAACAATGATTACATTATTATGCACATAATACAATCAGATTTATCATATAGGAGATGAAATGCAGCTTCTTGCTTTGAAGTTTAAACTATCACAGTTTGGAAATGATAGTAATAGTTATTTAGTGAATGTTAGAACTGATAAAATGATAAGACAGTGGCTTACTTTTAAAATTGATTACATGTTGTATACATTCAGTGGCAATGTAGGGGGAAACTATAACATTTTAATTTGATTTTCTTTCTTTTGAATTGTTCATATAAAAAGTATTTGACCAAGAAAATTTATTTTCATACTATTTTTCTTTCAGATGTTTTCCAGGAAGAATAGTAGACAGTAAGGAATATGTCTGTGTTCCACAAAATCTTACTGAGACCAGAGGTCGAAGAATATCTGAGGGCTGTATTGGTTTTCAGTGCATTCCTATGGGAAATGCAGATTCAACATAAGAACTTTTCAACTTGAGAACCACCTTCCAATACGGATTAAGTTCTTAAGTAGAGACCCCACTGTAAGACCTAACCTGAAAATAAGCCCTAGTGTGATTTTTCAGGATGCTCGTAATATAAACCCCAAAACAAAAATAAGCCCTAGTTAAGTTAAACCCTGCCCTCCATCATTGTGCAGCAACCAGAATATGACATGACTGTATTTGAATAAATGTAGATTGTTGTAAATGAAATAAACATCCTCTGAAATGAAAATAAGCCCTAATGCATTTTTGGAGCAAAAATTAATATAAGACCTTGTTTTATTTTTGGGGAAACAGGGTAGATATTGATTATTTAAAAATGCAAATGTTCTGGTTTAGAGTTAGGTTAGCATGCTGTAATCTTATAGTTTATCTGAAATTAAGTTTATTTAAACTTAGCTAAACTTCTGAGTAGGTATTTAGGATTGAACTATCAGGATGGTTTTCTCCGGTAAATATGCTGCCATGATACTACTCACAAACATGCAACTCTCTACAGTAGGAAAACCTATATACTGTACTTGTTGTTTTTTCTGTACTACTTTTATCTCGATTTTTACTGTTTTTATAGTGCCTATAATTGTTATGTTCTAAGTATTTTAATTATTTTTATTTCTGATTATTTGATACATGTTGATACATGTTGAAGGTATGTATCTCAAAATAAATAAATAAAATGATGGATGCTAGATGGAAAGGGAAAGTTCCAAGCTGGTGTAAAGAAATACATATTTGAAAATATGTAATAGTGATGTCTGCTGCTAATAATTCATGTAGTACCGGCTAAAATAGTCAGAGTATGAGATTTGTCATTTGGTTTTTCAAAATATAATGAGGTAAATTCACTTATTTACAGTTTATCCAATTGATAAAATAACATAATTGGTAGCAACTTTACAAATTACATTTCAAAACAAAATTTTACAATTTCATACGTGTCCCTGGGATCAATCTTGCTTCTCTGGTGATCAAAATCTTACATTTTTCTGCTGTGACTCATCAATTGCTTAAGGGTAGACAATTCAGTGAGAGTTCCCTGGACTGCAAGGAGATCATACCTATCAATTCTGAAGGAAATCAGCCCTGAGTGCTCACTGGAAGGACCAATCCTGAAGCTGAGGCTTCAGTATATAGGTTTTCCTACTGTACATAGATTTGTGTGTGGGTAAAGGGCTTTCTGACAGATAGGCCCAATCAGTAAGGATGGGATCTCTCCATTCTTCTACCCGGGTACTAAGTACAGGAGCTCCCCAGGGCTGTGTACACACATGATTGCACCCCACTGTATAACATCAACACAATTATTAAATTTGTGGACAACAGTGGTGGGGCTCATAAATAAGAACAATGAGTCAATCAATCAGACCTTTATTGGCATAGACAAAACAACGTATAAAAAGAAAGTTAAAAAAGGAGTACAGTAAAAACTAAAGAACTCATAATTGATTTTAGGAGGAAGAGAAATGTACATTTACAACTGTACATAAATGGCGATGAAGTGGAGAGAGTTGGTAGTTTTAAATTTCCGGGCACTTACATCTCAGAGGACCTCTCATGGATTATAAATGGCAACGTGTTAGTGAAGAAGGCACAGAAGAGGCTGCATTTCCTGAGAATGCTTGGGAAGTTTTCAGCATTTACTTCTGTCCTACTATTGTAGCACCATTGAGAGTGTCCTATCCTATGGCATTCTGGTATGGTTTGGGAGTAGCTCTGTAGTGGACAAAAAAGCTCTACAGAGAACCATTAAAATTTCCCAGAATATCATCGGGCTCCAGCTATCAACCCTGGATGACCACATCCCGCTGTCTGAGGAAGTCACACAACATCCTGAGAGACTCTTCCCATCCTGCTTACAACTTTTTTGAATTGTTGCCGTCTGGCAAAAGATATAGAAAAATTAAGACTCGGGCCACACATTTTCTGAATACTTCTTATCCCAGAGCTATACTTGCACTTAATAATGAACATAAAGACCACCAGTAGTGAATAGTTGGACAGTGTTACTTAGCCTGCGGTGTAGATGCTTGTATTTTTAGTGGGGGATTTTAATGGGTGGGGAGTGTTTGGGGATTTTTTTATGTGCGTTCATGTGGGTATGGTTTCTGGCTGTTTGTGTGAATTTCGTTGTATGGGTATACAGTACTATGTATATACTTACAATGACAATAAATTTATTTGATTTATTTGATACTTTGGCTATTTCATGAGAAGAGAAATCTCCCTGGAAAAGACCCTGATGTTGGGAAAGAGTGAAGGCAAGAGGAGAAGGGAATGACAGAGGATGAGATGGTTGGACAGTGTCATTGAAGCTACCAAAGTGAATTTGACCGAACTCTGGGAGGCAGTGGAAGACAGGAGGACCTGGCGTGCTCTGGTCCATGGAGTCATGAAGAGTTCGACATGACTTAATGACTAAACAACAACAACAAGATAATTCAGTGCTTATCTTATTTACCTGGTTCTTGGCTTAAAATTGTATTCTTACTTCATTGAGGTCTGTGAATGGGAATTCTTGGATTTAAGCCAATTTAACCTCCTCTGATTCTGAAGTCCTTTGGTTTTAATTGGTTTGTTTCAATTAGCTAAAGTCTGCTTGAGTTTATAACATAAAGCACTGTCATTGCTAACCTAACATATTTTCTTTGTGTTTATTTTAAGCTTGTAACTGCCATCGGTCCAGAGCAAGCTGAAGAGAAATATGAGTCTCTGTTAAATAATTTATCTCATCCACCAGCTTTCACAACTGTTAGAGTGAACACTCACTTGGCATCTGTGGAGCATGTAAGAAGTCTGCTTTGTGAAGAAATCCAAAAGGTCTGTGCAGTTTCTCCTTTCTGGTTGTATGTGCAGCCATTAGTTAGATGAATCCCTTGTATGGAAATATTTAGCACACATACTGGAAATAAGTACCATTTAGTCCAGTAAAACAGATATCTGGTTAGACATAGATTGGACTTCAGTCTGTTTTATTCTTGGTCATGCTATTTGGTCTGAGGACTAGAACTGCAGTATAAAACCTAGAACACTGTCGGTTGACAACTGTTGGCATCTTTTATTTCATTTAAAGGACTTAACTTTTTCTTAATTTTTCAGAGAAAATTATCTCCATGTTGTTAGTTCTGTACTGCCAATTGTTATGAAATGGCACCATATGTTTTCTCTTGGGAGACGGGATCCTGTTTTTCTCTAGAAATAACAGATGTTTTGGGATTTAGAGGCAGCCAGTGCATGGCAGAGGCAGAGATACATCAGAAAGGACGGTATGCTGATTATTTTCATGCAATGCTAGCTTTTATTCCCCAGGGATGTTTTTGCATGAGAAAGCAAGAAATTAAAAATAATGCAAACCTGAGATTCTTGTAATAAGCACTCTGTAGTAAAGTAGTCTGAAAATGAGTCTGCTATTCTTCTGTGCATTTCAATAGTCATTTCCTAAGTCCACCTCTGAATGAAAATTTAAAACATACATTTCTCCTGCAGTCAGAAATAACTCAGTAGGTTGGTAGTATTGGGAAAAAAAGATATTTGAAGTAAAGATTACTTTTCAATATTTTGTATTAAATAAGATCTTTTTTAAAAAATACGTAGCAGTATGGAAGTTTTAGTGTTCCAGTTCTTCAGCATCCACAACTCCCTGATGTCTTACTTATTCCTGTTATTGGACCCAGGTTAGTGTTCTCTGTAATGTTACATAGCTTTAAATTATATTTTACATTAAGTATCTCTGTTGGTTTGTAGACAGATGCCGAGTTGAGAACATATGACATACATGAGCAAACAGGATTTTAGAATAGATCTACAAATTAATGTAAACTAGATTATGAACCAGATTTAGCCTGCATAATATGTCATGCAGGGAAAGGAAATGTTGAACTACAGTGGGTGTTACAGGTAAGAGGTTCAGCAAGCCCAAAATATTTGTAAGGAAGAATTCCAGAATGCTGACTTGCTTTTGATTAATTATTTTATTCTAGCCTGATAAATCATGGTGTGTTAAGAAAATTATTAGTCATGAGAAGAAGTTTGAATGTATTTATTAATCATGGTTTGTTGTTTCATTTTACCCTGCCAAATCATGGTAATCTTAACTTGGGTTTATTAAGACAAGCCAGTTTCAAACCATGGGTTCTAAAAGTTATCATGCTTTAATATACCATAGTTAAAATTAACCGAATTTTATCATTTGGAACCTTTTGGTCCGCTCACAACTACATATAGAAGATAGGGGACAGCTGCTCAGCATTATGCATCAGCCTTTTAGTACAATATGTTGTAAATCAACTATGGAATAAAAATAATTATTCAAGCGTTCCGATTAAGACTAGTAATTAGCTTGCATTATCAGTATAGTGGTCCTCAATAAACACTGGCCTGCTTATTTTTAAAAGTCTTTTGTTATGAGACTCAACTTTAAATTTCACAACTGTAAAATAGGTGAGGCATTTTATAGTTGCTTTCTTGTTTGTGTCAAAATATTAATGGATGCAAAAAATAATGAAGTAGCAAGCAAGTGGATGATGAAGAAGCAAAAATAGGCAGGCAATGACAATGGAAGCTGTTGGTGGGAAGTCCAGAAGGAGCTGGAAACAACAGAAGGGGTTAAATCAGTTTTTTTTTTCTGTTTATGTTAATAGAAATAAATTGCATTTTCTTTCTGCAGGAAGGATTTACAAAAGTTAACAAATGAGGTTATTGTGGGTGCACAGTGTGGGAGCGCAGTTTTGAGAGGTGCACATGTCTATGCTCCTGGAATTATATCTGCTTCAAAATGTAAGGCGTTTTTCCTTATTTTCCACGACACTTAAGAAAAAAAAACTTTGTAGTAGATAGTTGCCGTTGTCTTAAGTGTTAATATACATTTTGTATGTACAATTCTTTTTATTTTTTCTGTAGTTCTGCACCAATTTTCTATGCAGTTCAAATCTCTTTGTTAAAAGTGAATTTTCAGACTTCCTCAGAAAGCCTGTTTCATTGTAGTTTTTTAAAATGCTTATTCACAGTACTTTTCTGTATTACTTTTGTGCAGTGCTTCTTATCTGCTTGTAGTGGTAGTTTCATTGCCAAGCAATAGTTCATAAAGGGATTCAATCCTGCTCTAGTTGTATTTTTAGATCTTCTTTCCTACCGCCATACAATAAGAAGTGTTGCTGTATCTTTTTCATGTTCAGTTACCAAATTAAAGTTGAGCTGCTGACTTGGCTATTAACATTTCTTGCCAATTGGCCACAAGGACCTATATTTGAAGGATCACCAGAAAAAAAGCTGCTGAGGGTATGTGTGTGCAGTAATTATTGAAGTAGATGGTCCAGAGCTAGCCTTGATCCTAGCCAATTCTTGACCAAAACTGATTCTTGTTGACGACGTGTAGCTTAAACAAATGCCCTAGGAACTTGATCAATGTTGTTTTGCCAAATAAAATATAATTGGAAATGCTCTTTTCTCCTTTTGTAGTCATGAAAGCTGGTGATTTGGTTTCAGTATACTCTGATATCGAAGGCCAGTGTAAAAGAGGAGCCAAAGAATTTCTTGGAACCAAGGTTTTCATTGGAAATGGAATTTCTGAACTGAGCCGTAGTGAAATTTTTCAATCCAATGGCACATTGAAGTAAGTTAGAAGTATGTAATAACAACTAGGAATCTATCCCAGTTGTTTTTATACTGTAAGAAAACATTCAGTTTTTAAAATGATGTTGTGATTATGGCAAGAACGTTTTTTATATACCTGAGAGTCTAGACAAAAATGCTCATGGTGGATGATGGCAGTGTAAAGTTATACAGCTGAATTCCATCCTTTGTTTGAGCTTGAGGGTTTTTTCCCTTTTAAAAAAATACTTTTTGTGAGCTCTTGAATCTGAATCCACTGGGTAATCTTTGATCAGGAGATGCTGTGTTGATATATGCCACCTAGCTGAAGGATATCCATGTTTTCTTAGTGGCCTAAGAGTGTGTTCTATTACAGTGGTTCTCACCATGCCAGTGTATCATGAGAAGGTGTTAGAAAGAGGTGGGAAGGAGTTGCAGAAATGTGCATTTCATTTTTTTTCCCAAGAATTGAGGCTGGGCCACAACTGGCTAATTTTGTTGTTGTTGTGCAGATGTATTATATACATTTAGAAATAGGTGATTTTATTATGTAAAATGTTACTTCAGCTTTGCTCATTAATGAGACAGCAAATTGATCCTTCTTTATTGGCCTCTGTGAATGCACACAAATGGGCTTTACTGTGCCTGCGCAGGACTTCTTGGAATATTCTAGAGCTTTAAAATACATGATTAGTAGGACATTGCCCCGTGGCGCACATGCTCCGCCCACCCATATTACCTCAGTAATACAACAAGAGAACTTTTCAGCAGGGTTTTTGAATCTTGCACAATTTTGCATTTTACAAAGTAAAATGTAGTTGAAAGGCAGCTAATCCTTATATCACACGAGACAGGCAACTAATCTTTAAGCCACATTTACAGAAAGAGAACATATTTAACTATTTTAAAGACAGAAAATAATCTATTTGATATATTTTGAATTATTCTAAACAAATATTTGTTAAATTGTTCTACCTGAACTTCATGTTCATTTTGTATATGTATATGGATTGTGCATGTATATACAGTGGTGCCTTGACTTATGAACACCCTGACCTATGAACAATTTAACTTACGAACAGCTCCGGCCGCAAAATTTTGCTTTGATTTGTGGCTGGAGCTTTGATCTACGAACAAAAAAAGACAGGGGGGAAAGGCGGGAAATTCAAAAAAACTAACTGTTGGTGGTGAAGAGGCTGCTGCTTTGTAGCTCTTGAGCCTCAACGGTTAGGGAAAGGGAGGCTCAGCCTCCCAGGCTTCCGCTGCCACCGCCATTGCCATCTTTGGAGGCCTCCCGGGGCTTCCCTGCCACCATAGGAGACCTCCTGGGGGTCCCCTGCCATCACCATCACCGCCTTCGGAGGCCTCCCAGGGCTTCCCTGCCGCCATGGGAGACCTCCTGGGGGTCCCCCGCTGCCGCCGGTCGCTGCCTTCGGAGCTTCCCAGGGTTTCCCCACCGCCATGGGAGACCTCCCGGGGGTCCACCGCCACTGCCGCGAAAGCCCTGGGAAGTCTCCCATTGCGGCAGGGAAGCCCTGGGAGGCCTCCGAAGGTGGTGGAGAAGCCCTTGCCAGGCAGCAGCGGCTGGAGTCCGGGAGGCTTCTTGGCAGCGGCAGCGGAGGTAAAATGCGCGTAGAGTGGTGAAAAGTCCCCGTGTGACTGCTGAGGAACTGAAAAAAGATTTGTCAGATGTGGGTATAGAAGTTTCAGCTCAGACAATAAGGCGCACACTGCGTAATGAAGGTCTCCATGCCAGAACCCCCAGGCGCACCCCCTTGCTGTCTCCCAAGAATAAGAAGAGTCGACTGCAGTATGCCAAAAGTCATGTGGGCAAACCACAAAAGTTGTGGGATAGTGTTCTGTGGACTGATGAAACAAAATTAGAACTGTTTGGGCCCATGGATCAACGCTATGTTTGGAGGAGGAAGAACAAGGCATATGACGAAAAGAACACCTTGCCTACTGTGAAGCATGGCGGAGGGTCAATAATGCTTTGGGGCTGTTTTGCTTCTGCAGGTACAGGGAAGCTTCAGCGTGTACAAGGTACCATGAATTCTCTTCAGTACCAGGAGATATTGGATGAAAATGTGATGCAGTCCGTCACACACCTGAGGCTTGGGAGACGTTGGACCTTTCAACAGGACAATGATCCCAAGCATACCTCCCAGTCCACTAGAGCATGGTTGCAGAGGAAAGGCTGGAACATTTTGGGGTGGCCATCGCAGTCACCAGACTTAAATCCGATTGAGAACCTCTGGTGGGACTTAAAGAAAGCAGTTGCAGTGTGCAAGCCTAAGAATTTGACTGAACTGGAGGCTTTTGCCCATGAAGAATGGGCGAAGATACCCGTAGATCGCTGCAAGACACTTGTGTCAAGCTATGCTTCACGTTTAAAAGCTGTTATAACTGTAAAAGGATGTTGTACTAAGTACTAAGATTGAATGTCACTTGGGGGTTGAATAAAAACTAATAATGATGTGAGCACAGAAAAGACATTTGTGGTTATTTCATTATAAACTTAAGGTTATATTTCTCTGACCTACAAGGGCCTCTTTCATGTAAATGTAAGCAAGATGACTGAATGATCAAAATCAGTGTCAAAATGGCCCAAACATTCAATTTCAGTGGGGGTTGAATAATTTTGAACACAACTGTATAAATTAAAATAGGCAAAATTCTGTTAACTAATCTTAAATTAAATTTTAAAATGGTTACATAAAGTATAAAGTATACCATAGTCTCATTTAGAATAATGTATCTTCTAATAAAACATTATAGGTATAATATAGCTGTTAGAAATATGGCCAGGCAATTCATTCTTATCATTATATGTTGTGTCTTTCAGAGGAATGGGAATAAAAATGATAGAGCCTATTTATCTTAGTCCTTCGTTTGACAAGTTGTTGTCCAGTTATCTATTTTTACAGGTAAGTTGTATTGAAAATTATTGTGGTTTCTGTCTGTCTGTCTATCTATCTCATGTTGATACTGCCCTGTTTATATAGTATATTTCTCACCTAGTTTTCTATAAGCAAGGCAATTACTATGAGAACATATAAAAGGCCACTAGGAAGACATCAAATTTCTATCTTCATTCATAGCCAATCTGTACAAGTTGATGAGATAACATTATTTGCCATTACTTGATTCTAGAATGTCAGAAAAGGGGTCCATACATTTTTGGATTTATATCGTTTCTTCCTTCCTGTTCCTACTTCAGACATTTCAATTTACCATATTTTTCAGTGTATAAGACATTCCCATGTATAAGACGACCTTCCACTTTTCTAACCCCAGATTAAGAAATTAATATTTTAAACATAAAACAGAATACATTTTTATTTAGTAATTAGGTAGCATTTACATACCAATATAGTACTGTCATATTATGCATCCCACTAAGCTTTGAGCATATCACTTTATGCAGCCTCTGGGCTCAGAACTCTCGGACATTACCAGTCCCTGTTGCATCTGAGCACTGCCTACATGCTCCACCTCCAACGAGGTATGTTTAGCATCAGCTGACATCAGTTACATAAGGCTTGTGATTGGAAGAAGATAAGTCTCCTGACTGTAGGAAGCTAAGTTTTGTGATTGAAGAAAACATGTTTGCAGAGGTAAGATACGGGCAGTTTTGCAATTGTGCGGTTCTCTTCTCAGCTTACTTCTGTGTATAAGACAACCCTAAATTTTTAGTCTAAAGATTTTAGACAAAAGTATCGTCTTATGCAGAGAAAAATATGGTATACATCAGCATTGCATACCAACAGCTATATAACTATAATTTAAGAACAAGAACTTTATTCCCATAGTGAAACTTTATCTGTTTTCCAATATTAGAACTATCAAGATTCTTCTGGTAACAGTTAAATTAAGTGTCATTGTTTGATGTGCTAGATCAGGGGTCTCCAAACTTTTCACATGGAGGGCCACATAATATATTTTTGATAATTTTGAGGGCTGAAGGAATGCTTGCCTGCACGACCGCACTCACACACTCTTGCCCGCACGCATTCCTGCCCACCCACCTGCGCTCCTGCCTGCCCACACTCCCACCTACCTACCTGCCCACACTCCTTCACACACCTCTGTGTGTATGCATGCATGGGCAGGATAAAAAGGCCAGTCAGGCCGGATGTAGCCCGTGGGCCATACTTTGGAGACCCCTGTGTTAGATGAACAGAAAGTACTAATAATCTATCCCCACAATGGGAGGATCTGTGAGATTGGTACAATAGCAAAAATTTATATTTTAAGTGCTTGATTGACAGCACTGTCCTGTGTACTCAGAGGTAGATCCTATTGTGGTCCATGAATTTACTCTGTAGCAAATGTGTTTAGGATTACAGTCTCTGACAATTGGGCTGATTATAAGATTTTGACTTCTCTGTTTTTCAAATATTCTGTCATGTTTGTTTGTTTGTTTGTTTATTTGATTTATACCCCGCCTATCTGGACCACCGGACCACTCTAGGCGGCTATGTTGTATCAAACCTATGGCTATCCTAACAGGTATTTCAGAGTATGTGATATATTTAAAGAGTGGCTTTACCTGTGGCACCCTCTAGTGAGTTTCATGGCTGGAGATTTGAACTTAGCTCTCCAGTGTCTAGTCAGTTGCTCTATCATGTACACCAAATTGGATCTCTTTGACTTTCTGGAGATGCTTTTTAATTTTCCTCAAAGTGGTGTTCCTATCAAATATTTATAGCATATGTTGACTGGATACCATGAATCTTTATGTTTACTGCTTACCAAATGAGAAAACAGATTCTCATGCTAATGATATTACCGAAATAAAAACAAATAAAATAAATTTCAAATAACTCTATTATTTCAGAATAATTACACCTTTTTTTAATGTCTGAAATAAACCTGGGTTTTGGAAATGCTTTTTTTTTCTTCCTAGAACTTGCCATCCTCTGTTGTGAGCCATGTTTTGGATCCTCAGCCAGGAGACAGAATTTTGGACATGTGTGCTGCTCCTGGGGGAAAAGCTACCCATATTGCAGCATTAATGCATGATGAGGTAAGTGAAAGCACGGACTATTTTCTGCTTCTGCAAAGAAATCTGTCCTGCATTTTATTGGCTTGCTCATTTACTGAGATCCACAGATAAGTCAAAATATCACACCATTAATATTTAAACATGCTGCTTATTTGCTGGCTCAGTCCAAAGATAGGAAGATTGCTGAAGCAAACATAGATCTTCTTGTCACATATATATCTAGAATAAATAGAGCTGATTTCAATAGAGAGACGTAATAGATGTTTTTAAAAACATAAAGCTAGAGCATTTTATGTAATGCAGATTAAACAAGGATGTCCATTTCAGTACTGAAGCCTTTTAAAAAACTCTTTTAAACTTAATAATGCAATTAAAATCAAAGTAATTGAATCAGCATCATGGAGTTGTGGCCCACTAATTTCATTAATGTAAAATAATAGGTAGACAGGATGGCTTTAGGATCTGCAGTGTTCTCATCTGTTAAGCTGAACTGAATAACACAATGATTTGTACCTTTCTTTTTAGAAACTAGAAAGATCTAATGTTAAGGGACTATTTTGACTGCAAGGGGAGAACACAGTGCCAGGATTTAGACTAAAAATAGTTGTGGCCCACTAATTTCATTAATGTAAAATAATAGGTAGACAGGATGGCTTTAGGATCTGCAGTGTTCTCATCTGTTAAGCTGAACTGAATAACACAATGATTTGTACCTTTCTTTTTAGAAACTAGAAAGATCTAATGTTAAGGGACTATTTTGACTGCAAGGGGAGAACACAGTGCCAGGATTTAGACTACAAATAAGGAGTGACTGCAAATGGCAGCACAAGGGTAGCATAAAGTCGTGTGAGGTACAGTAGGACTCCTTTATCCATGGAATCAGTATCCACTGTTTCACTTTTCCATGGTCTGAAAATATTAAAAGAAAAAAAAAATATAGAAAAAACTGTTTTCACATGTATTACCAGAACTGGCTAACAGAGGGTGCCAAAGACTGTGCTATGTATACTTGTTAGTGAAGAATACATAGCATGGTTTCTGGTGCCCTCTCATTGCCAGTTCTGGTAATGTATGCGAAATTTGTGGGGGGGGGGGAGAATAAAGTTAGCTATTATCTAACTTTCTTGGAACTTGGAACCTATCCTCAGGACTTGGAACCTATCCTCAGCGGATATGGAGGTTCTACTGTATTTTATTTCAAGCCTCCTCCTTAGATACTTTTACATGTAGATTGTCTTAGGTGAGTGCCAATTTCTGAGTCTCACACACAGTAGCACTGGAGAGGCATCTACCTGAGATATGTGAGATCCATTAATAGTCAGAGAAGAACAGTGGTATCCAGCTTTTCCAGATGTTGCACCCCTGTCCCATATTGATTTGCAAGACAAGTCTCATTTCATGTTTTACTGTCTTCCTTCTCCCTCTTTCGCTCCCACTTTTTTAACTTTTAAAAATAGCTGAATGAAAATTTGCTTGTGGTACTAGATCATAAAGCCACCCATTTGTGGGCCTTGACCCACTTTTAAAGGTCATCATTATGGATGAGTGACCTGACAAAGTATAAAGGAATTGTTTGTCCTGATAGTAGAGCAACAGAAGAGGAAACTTTCTTGCAGTCTATACTGTCTGGATGTGCAGATATTTCTAAATTCATTAATACAGAGCTTGCTTTCTGCCTTTCCCAATATTTATATTTTTCCTTTCCGATTACAGTGTTCTTGAGATAATTCGATCTTGCTTAATTTAGTATTCTAAAGCAGGGAATGTGGACATTAATTTATTTCATTTATTTCAGAATTTTGTACTGTTGCATTTAAATTTAGGTTTTGTTTACTTCACAAATCCAGTTCTTAGTCTATTAAACTGGTTAACTGGTCTGGCTGATTGCCTTAGAACAAGATAGGCAGTATCTGTGATAGATGGGTGGCCGAGAGCCTTGTGTATACCCCACAGATGTACACAGTGTATGCCCGCATACTCATGGCATATGGAGATAACACATGCAAACCCCTGCTCTGAAACCCACTACAAATAATTGGGATGGGATACCAACACCTATTACAATTATATTTAGATTGGTGTGAAAGGCCTCCTCACCACTGCAGCAGTGGTGCTGTTGGCTGCTGAAGTGAGAAAGGAACTTCAGTCTCACTTTCCATACCAGCATTATTGTTGTGGCTATAGCCAGCTCTGTGATGCAGAAAGAGGATAGAGCAGCCTCCTGTGACAATAGAGCCATTTGTCATTTGTGCACTAGTAGACAGATTTAGGTGTGACTGTCCTTATATGTAATGAACCATGCAATTTGTGACAACATGACAGGCTAAGTAACAGAATGCCACATTTATTGAAATGTCTATTCTTCCAGTCTGAGGAAATTCCAACATTTATACATAATTTATCAGGTGCAGCCATGGAATTAGAAGTTGTTTACTAAATGATAAAAAAGTGTGTGTATGTGTACATCAGCACATTCCAGAAACAATTTGTTACCATATTGTCCAAAATCCTCTTGCTTGGTGTAGTAAACTGCACTAGAATAGGCCCATTGAATTAATGAGGCTTTAACAAATCAACTCCACAAGTGCCATTTATTCAAATAGGCCTTACTCTAACTGCAGCTTACTTTAGCAGAACAAAAGTGCAATCTGCTACACTAAGAACAGGATTTTGGTCACTGCTTTAAGAAAACAATCACCTCTTAAGATACCTTTTGAATTAACAGGCACAGAATAAGTTCCATCTCAAAGGTTATGCATTTGGAAGGACTTAAGAGCCTGCTTATATCATTTGCACATATAGAGAAGTGTGCATTTTTAATATTTGTTGTCAAAAAGTCCTGGATGGAATGTTAACATAACACTACCCAATCAACAAAATATTATTGAAATTACATGTGTGGATTTGAGTGTGTATGAAATAATTTGTGGCCGTGATCTTCAACAATTCTTCTTCAGTTTTTGGTAACTGTACTGTTTGACTTCTAACATATTTTTCAGGGGGAAGTGGTAGCCTTGGATAAGATAGCAGACAAAGTGAAAAGGATTAAACAAAATGCTACATTACTAAAACTGAACTGCATTAAAACCTTTTGTTATGATGCTACTAAGGTGCTTGCCACAAGCAAGAGGGAAGATGGCCAAGGTAATAATTCTCTTAGTACTTTTTTCTGGTTGTGTTTTCATGAGAATGAAAGGTGTAATTTTTACTGCAGCTGTAAAGTCAGCATTATGAGGAAGGGATTAGATACATTCACCTCCATTTTTATCTGAATGTAGTTTGTCATTGGACAAACATAAGCCAGGTATCTGTGGGAATAGAGTTTGCTTGTGCATGCTGCTCTTTTGCTCCTGCTTAGAGCATGATTAGCGGAATAAATCTTGGAACTTTGTACTGTGATTTGCTATGTCTGCTCTTTAGTTGTGAATATCATTATTTGGTATATACACATAAGGATTACATTTCTTGCCATGGAACAGATATACTTTGCATTAACACTGGTTATAATTACAAAAAAGAATCTAGCCTCCCTTAGGCTTACATGTTCTCACTTCCACCTTCAACACAGCCACAAGGAGATCAGGATCTTCCAGTTTAGATTAAGTGCAGTTTTAGCATGTCAGAACTTTAAGATGGGATTAATTTTAAGTATTGCTAATGGTAAGAGTTCAGGTTTATAAACTGTAGTATGAAATGCGCTTGTTTTCATTAACCGTACTTTCAGTTAAGTACAGCTTGTGCAGTTAGGGGTGAAATAACAAGTTGTGGTTAATCAAAATAGCAGCAGAACTTCTGAAGCTATTGTGCCTGTCCCATAGCAGAGAGCACGCAAGCCCATTGGGGGTACTGTGGATGCGAATTGCAACTGAACTAGACTAGTGTCACTTCTTAATTTAGTCTTTATTTAGTACAGTTTGGTACATTATTGACATAAGAGGTTTGCTTGTATACCAAACCCTGCAAGTTGTCCTTTTAATGCCCTTATTCCCCCCCCCAAGTCATGTTTCATTAGCTTGTTTCCTTTTTATAAATGTATAATTCATAAATGGCTTGTGTTTGGTACATCTCTCTTGTAAGTGCAATTGACGTAGTTGCTGGCATGTTGGGTTAGATCGGGGTCCTCAGCCCCTGGTCCACAGATCGGTCATGGTCTGTGGCCTTGCCAGGACCAGGCCATGAAGACAAATCTCCTCCCCCCCGCATGCGCAGACGCATGCATGCCCCTCCCACACATGCAGGGATGCCCCCATGCCTCCCCACCCACATGCTAAACCAGTCCATGGAGGCAAAAAATTTGAGCACCATTGCATTAGATAGCCTTCTGTAGACATTAAATAATTACATCAGTGGTTAGGTTTTCAAAAGAAAATACCATGTAGCACCAAAATGGAACTAATTTCCACTTGAAGTCTTCAGGAATAGAGTGGGAGGCAAAGGAAATTTTGCCTTCTGTGTCCAAACATAGTAACAGAGCAGTATAACTGGATTTGCGGATTAAATGAATTGTACCATGAAGATTTTAGACAACATTGACATAAATTATATGTAGTTTTTCAAATGATGATTTAATACCTTTGCAGAAGGACCTCCGTTCTCACCAGAATCATTTGATCGAATACTTCTTGATGCTCCCTGCAGTGGGATGGGGCAGAGGCCAAATATGGCTTACATCTCATCTTTAAAGGAAGTGACTTCTTATCAGCCTTTACAGCGCAAGCTCCTTAGGGTGGTATGTATTCATAGTAAAAACTGCTTTAAAAGTTGCAGACATGTAGCTTTATCTTACACATAAGGTAAGCTGGGGAGCTCATAGCTTGCTCTGTTAGATCATATCTGTGTTAATACAGATTCTTACATGCGTTATTGGCTTTTCATACAAAGCATCTCTAAAGGTTTCTCTGCCTTATCTTGTTTTGATTCATGGGATTAAAAAAAAACTTCTTATTGTGACCTGCAGTTCTATCTTTCTTTCTAAGTCTTGAACTTAGTATTACTGATTGGCTTGTAAACTGGCATTCTGTGTGGTAAAGGAGGAGTGTTGTCAGCTCTTTGAAATTCTATATTAAATTTCTGTAGGGCTCAACATCTGTAAGGCAGCAATCCATGCAAACATTTCAGGAATGAACAGCTTCTTTCTTGTTTGGTTGAAACATTTCACTACTCATCCAAGTAGCTTCTTGGATGAGTAGTGAAAAGTTTCAATATAACTATTAGACAAAATGATAATTTGTTAAAGCTTCAAAGCCTTTGAAAGCATAACCTGGATAGTAAATGCTAGTTCAGATATTATAATTCTTGAATCTTCAGAAGTAAGTAGTTCCATTGGGAAGATGACTTGGTGCCCTTATTGCCTTATTCCCCAAAAAACATCAGTCTCAGTGCTGTGCTCAGATGAAGTGTGGAAACATCAACACTCATGATTTATTCAGCTGTGTTCTCTTGTGTATTGGAGTCTGCTGAGCCAAAAGGAAGCAGAGAAATTTCAGTCCTGTCCTAGAGCCTGTCAGATGCTTGTTTCAAGGAGAGCACTTTAACACAGGCATTCTGCTTTTGCTAAATGAGAACTAACTATAGATTGAGTTTCTAGAAGTGTTTGATGAAAGATAGTTTGTCTTTGGAAACATTGAAATAATAAAGTTGTTGGAGCGTTGGAGCTTGAGATCAAATTTCATTTTTCATCTGTATTGTTTTTTGTTTTGTGATTTCCTTTTGCTCCACCATTGGTTGTTTTAAGGAATGAATGGCTACTGAATAGAAGTTGAGCGGAAACAATCTATTTCACAAGCTGGTATATTCAGAGGAATCACTGCAAAAAAACAAACAAACAAACAAGCTCAAACTCTCTCGTTGAACAAACTCAAATATTATGAGAAGTAGTTGTTCACCCAATCTAAATATGTTGCAGTAAATATGGCCTATGTAAATATCCTATACCAGGGTCTCTAAACCTTTCAGTATGAGGGCCACATCATGTATTTTACACATTTTCAGGGGCTGAAGGAGGGAAGGGGGATCCAAGCAACCCCCCACCCCTGCTGTATTTGGAAAGACAGTGGGGGTGGGAGATTGGTTCCGTCAGGCGTTGCTCCTCTTTCTATGCCCGGGCCAGATAAAAAGGCAAGGCAGGCTGGATATGGCCTGCGGGCTATAGTTTGGAGACCCCTGGCCTATACAGAGAGGCATTTGAATTCATCTGTATTTTAAATTTTAATATTTCTTGTGAGGTGATGGTGATACCCTGGAAATAAAGATGTAGTGTATCCTTAGGCAGTGCATCTGCTGAAGCCGGGAGGCATCCTTGTGTACAGTACCTGCACAATCACACTTTCTGAAAATGAAGAGCAAGTTGCATGGATGTTGGAGACGTTTCCATGCCTCCAGCTTCAGTCACAGGTAACAGCCTGTTTCTTTTTTACAATTTATTGCCTAACATGTATACATTTCCCACTTTCAAATTAAATTATGTGCTTGCTGACGGTTGAAGAACTTCCTGTAGGAAGAAGAGAGAAGGAAAAGTTCTAGGGATCATGCTTTGAATTACTGCCTAATTGCTATCATTTTTAGCATCTGCAGGTATTAAAATTTGACAAAGAAGCGTTTTCCTTCTCTCCCCTTTTATCAGAGCCAGTGTGGTGTAGGAATAGACTAGGAGACAAGTGTATCTCAGGTATCTTGAAAATCCTATTCAAGCTACCATAAGTCTGGTATCTTTTAGGTAGCTTAGACCCAATCATTTAGGGCTTTATAAATCAAAACTAGCACTTTGAATTGTGTCTGGAAACACTGGCAGCCAGTGGAGCTGCTGTAACAAGAAAGTTTTGTGATCACTATAACCAGCTGCAGTTAACAATCTGGCTACAGCATTTTGGATCTGCTGAAGTTTCAGTTTCCAAAGGCAGCCCCATGTACAGCACAGTGCAGTAATCTAAATGGGATGTAACTAAGGCATGCAGTGCTATGGCCAAGTCAAACATCTCCAGGAAAAGTCACAGCTGATGCACCATTTTGACTGCACATGCACTCCTGGCCACCACTGAGACCTTATCATTCAGGCTTGAGATGAAGCCAGGAGCATACCCGACTGAACCTGTGTTCTCAAGTCGTGGTGTCCATGTATGCACAAAAATGCGTTTGTGCACCTGCATGGACACATTCTCGGAAAGTTCCAGAGCCTCCAAAAACAAACGTCCCTTTGACTGTACAGTGGTGCTCCACATGACGACGACCTTGTAAAATGACGAATCCGCTATAGCGGATCACAAAACGATGTTTCCTGTGGGGGATTTTTGACGACAGGTTCGTGCTTTGCGAATCATTTGTTCGCAAGACGGTGATTTTTCTGGCTCCGCAAAATGGCCGCCTTGTGTTTTCCGGACCCATGCTTCGCAGGGCAGCCATTATAACAGCTGATTGGCACTCGGAAGATTCCCTATGGGTGATTTTCACTGGACGACAAGGTAATTTCCCCATTGGAACGCTTTAAATGGGTTTCAATGCATTCCAATGGGGAATTATTTTTCGCATGACAACGATTTCACTGTATAGCGATTTCAGGGAAACGGATTGTCATCATGCGGGGCACCACTGTACTGAGGAAGCACAGCCCCACAAGTCCTTTCTTGTCTGCTACTGCAATGACATGCAAAGAACAGATCCAGAGCCTCGTCTCTACTTAACGTGCGTTTTACATGTGCCGCTTGTGGCAAAAAGATCCCTCAATCCAATGGGCACAACATTTGCCTGTTCTGTTTAGGAATGACCTATTTGTAAAATCCTGCAAAATCTGTAAGTTTTATGGCCCTTACTCTTAAGAACCATCAATCCTGTCTGTGTTCCTTTCCTTTGGGAACAATCCCTCAGGGTACCCAATCCTTCTTCCAGCACAACTCAGGCTTCTCAGCAGATGTATCAGTGGGAAACTTTGGAAAAATCCTCAGCCTGGGAACGTGAGGTCCTCTATGTTTCCATGCATCCATCGAAATCTCATGCCCCTCTAAGGCACCAGGAGAGGAGAAAATATCTTTAAAATGTTTTATAGATGGCATCTCACTCTGGTAAGATTGGCAAAAATATCGGAAGGGATCAGTAATGCTTGTTGGAAATGCAGGGAAAACCCAGGAACATATCATGTATGGTGGTCATGTGAAAAAGCAAAAAAAAATTCTGGTCACAGGTTTGGGAAATGTCACAAGAAATTGTCCAGCAAAAACTAAACTATAAACCTGAAAGGTTTCTATTGAATATGATGCCAGAGATCATTGATAAAAAAATAAGAGAAAGAGAGAAAAAATTAGGGGAAGAAAAGATCGCCACGAACCAGTACTTACAAGAACCCATTAATGATATTAGATGGTAATGTATTTTCTAAACAAACAAGGGGGCACCAAGTCCCTAAGTCTTCTCTATCTTGCAAGCCTTCTATGGGAATGGTACATATCATATCACGTCTTCCCAACAGCAACCTATGTTTCAGGCACAGACAATCAGAAGGCAACCACCTCAGCCAAATTATGATGCAGACACAGGAATGGGAATTACCTCATGCTTTCTACATTGAACTGATCTCCAGATGGGACAAACCAACCATAGATGCATTCACCACCCCCAACCAACTCAAAATCTGCTCATTACCGCACCCAAGTTGGCATGGGCAGCTGCTCCTTAGGAAACACCTTCATCATACTTTGGACCACGGACTTGGGCCGGGCTGCCGGGACAGATGAGCGGCGAGGAGGAGGCGAGCGGCGAGTGAAGCGCCTCCTGTCAGCACACTCCTATTGGGTTCTAGTGCCGCTGCTGATCTGACAAGAGGCAGCTCCCTGTTCCCCTCCTGCCACTGCTAGATCAGCTGTGTCTGTGCCATTAGAATCTAATAGGAGTCTGCACTCCTACTAGATTCTAAGCCATTGCTGATCTAACAGGAGGCAGAGCTTCAGTTGCAGCTCACCTCCTGCTCGCCATTTCCTTTATGAGCTCAATTCAATGCTATCCTCCAACAACCTACTGCATAAGAAGCACCACCCCCACCACCCCAGTCCTTGGGAGAATCATCCTCAGCTAAACCGGTCCCTGGTGTCAAAAAGGTTGGGGATCACTGCACTAAAACAGCTTCCTGTGCTATCACTGGAATGAATGAATATTCAGAGCAATCTCTAGGAGTCCATCAGCTGAAGGTGATAGTTTCTATTGAAAAGATTTATTTCCTGTTTTAAAAGTTGCTTCACTAGGCAAAGCCTAACAGTTCCCCTCATCTTAATGCAGGGAACATACCATACCAGCTGTATGTATTCCATCTGCTGAAACAGAGTGGAGAACCAAAGTCCTGCATATTCTTAAAAGTCTGCCAGCAGCTGCAGTACAACACCAAAGGAAAGTCCTGCTAAACTCTTTACTGCCACTGAGCTCATATTTACCCTTTTCAAAGGGCACAGGAGGACAGATGGACGTATAGTTTGCCTGTGTTGACTTATCTGAATCTGAGCAGCCTGCTGATCCTGCAGGGAAAGTGGACTGGGGGAACATCTGTGTCTTTGAGCGTTCATGACTCCATTGCTTCGCTATAAAGAGTTCAGGCAATGCTGGTGCTTTGCTGGTTACCAGCAGTTGGGTAATTGTCCAGTTAAAATGTTTGCACCTAATGTGTTTACATTAGATGCTTATCAAATCTGTGTAGGTATGACAGAAAACTGAGAGTGTATATACAGAAGGGATCAAATAATTGTGCGACTTTGAGACATTTAATTAGTTGCACTTCACTTCCCTCAGACCCTTCACTGACAGAGTGGCTAAAGGGATTAGGTTTTAATCTTGTAGGATTAAATGGCTGAGACAGACTCTAATTTGATAGTGAGGTTTTGGTAATTTTTGTAACCATGATGATTTTACTGTGTGCCTGCAGGAAAAAAATACACAAGAATTCAAAGTTATGGTTGTAGTGTGTTATATTTGAGATTGTAATGTAATAGATAATTGAAGTATTGGAATGCCTTCCCTAAACAGAGGACTAGAAATGAGAGTGTCAGACACTATAAATTCATCTGGTTGGTGCCAGGTGTTCTGTAGTTAAACCTCTAAGGGCATTAAGTGGCTTACTAGGTTTCTTTATGGGAACAGACATTCAAAGTAGGCATAAATCACAAATGCCAATGATTTCCACAAATCTGGGAAATTGTTTTGTAGTTCAGAAATGTTTAAGTAGAAATACATGTTATGTGTCTGCCTCTTAGAATCAGGAAAGGATGTGTAATTTATTCACTATTATCTCTTGAGAGGACCTGAGAGGTTATCAGTTGTAACTAGCCCCACTTACTAGGTAGTCTGCTTCCATCTTTTTCCCTGAAGAAGGCGGGATTGTTAAGAAAACAACATTGTCTACCACCTGTTGAAGTTTTGGGGGATAGCTAGTATCTGGAGCAGTAGGCAAATAATAGCTTCACCATGTTTTTCTCTTGGACTTCAGTCCATCCACTTTTGCAGTACAATCCTATGCACACATATAAGAGCCATTTAATTTGTTGATGTGTATTTCCATTTAAGTGCACATACGGCTAAAATCTGAGTCTCAGTACTTTCTTACTATCTCACATGGGATTAACATGCTCATAGGTCTGAAGGAAGATCAGCCCTTGTAAGCAGCAAAATAAAATGATCATCTCATTTTGCTTGCACACAATAGCTGAGTGTCTTATATTCAGTTCTCTGTCTCCCTTTTGTTGATGTGACATAGCAACCCAAACATCAATTGAATATAAACAGTATTTTAGTGAGTAACATGTATGAAGTACTATTTTGTTAGTGTTGATTACATTATGATTGGGGGATTATATTAAAACAACTGATGATAACAAAGGACTGCTTGAATTCAGCTCCTCCTTTCTGTGTCACTATGCTAGAAGTACTTCTAAAAACATCCTTTACAAGAGTGTGCAGTAAGGAAACTGAAGGACAGATTTCTGCTGTAAATATATTCTAGGACAGATTGAGACCACTGGCTCTAGTGAATTAGCCTGCATTTTCTGCTAAACAAATAGGGGACTGCAGAACACTTCAAGCTGTTTGTTTTATTTTCCTGTCTTAAAAGGAGCCCCGTGTTGGAGGTGAAGGCATGATGGGAACTGGGTTGTCACCTGAACAGTTGAAATGGCTACAGAGGTTTGATCCATCTGAAGTGACTCTGCAAGGAATGGATTTTGATTCACTGCAAGAGTTAAAATACGAAGATTTGATAAGCCTGGCAAATAAGGACTGCATAGGTTTTTTTATTGCAAAGTTTATAAAAGTACAGGGAGAATAATTTAAGAACTCTTCATATGAAATACTCTTTCCTGTTAACCTTTGGAGCATTCTGAACTGTACCTCATGCTGCTGCAAGGTTGCCAAGCCAACAGACTGACGACACAGTTGCTATGGCAGCAGTATAGTCTGCCAGCTGTTTCCCTTGGGAGAGATCCACAGGTTGGAGAAACAAGTCTGAGGGAAAGGGGTAGATGCACTTTGGAAAGCTGTGTTTGGTTTTGCATTATCACTAGGTCACTGATTCTAGAAACTTTTATTTTTCAATTTATCCAGTTATTTTTTTAAAAAAAAAACTGTAATTGTAGTAGGAAGTCTTCTTTCAGCATATAGTATACATTGCACAGAATTAGGAAAAAAAGTGATCATTTTGTAAAACTTCGTGAATACATTGTAAAACTTTGTTTACTGAATTCTGAAAAAGCTCCTTTAAAAATCATGTATTAAAGAACATTTCAATGAGCTTCTTTAAGTGACATCAGCATCTTATTGGTTTACATTATTTAGTCACCCAAGAATCTTTCAGCTGATATCCCACAAAGCTGAATCCCATTTTGCTTTTATCTGCTTTCCTGGCAACACATGTATACTTGCTTTTCTTCTTAGGGAGTGCAGATTAGTTTTCTAGGATTTGCTGTTATTCTGGGACAGAGCCAAAGAAGTACTACTGAATTGAGGGTCTAAGGCAAATGCTACTGTTACATTTTACACTGTCATATTTTCTGTTAGAAGAGGTAGGAACTCCGAATTTTCCCATTGTTTTTACATCTTCCTTTTTAAAGTCTTTGCAAGCCTAAGCACCCTCCTATTTCACTATGTTTGAGATTTACAGATTGGGCTGTTCTAAAACATTTCAAGAACCAACTCTCTACCTGATGCCTTACTAATGTAAATATTTATGTGGATAGAGGAGTCTGAGGTAGCAGGGCCAGGAAGGTTTCTTAGCTGTCCTGTCCACTTCGATCACTTAGGACCAAGTAAATGGTATGGCATGGATCATGGTTAAGAGACCTGCTACCAAACTGAGAAGAGTTCATTGTTTTCAAGACCATTTTAGTAATTTGGTGGGCCTGTGTGAATACAGATCATAGTGGCATAGATTAGACACTCCAGTGAGTCAGGTGCTAAAGTGCTTTGGACAAATCCGTATGATTAGCTATTTATAAAGTGGTGATTTGCTACTGTTTGGATGTGTCCACTTGGAAGCCTATATATCCTAATATCTCTGTTTTTGGAGGCAGAACCCCAGATTATTTGGGACAGGGAAAAACAGTTGACTTCATGTAGCCGAAACATGAGTCCGTTTCATGTAACGTATCTTCTGCTGGGTTTCATTATTCCAGGTTAAGGGTAGGGATCAAATATCTAGATCTCCCCAACATGATACGTTCTGTGCACATAAAACATAGGGAGGAGTCTAATTTGGAACCTTTTGCTTCAAGTGTTTTGTAGGTGCAAAGAATTTATTAAGTGGTCGGGACACAGGTGTGATAGTACATACAAAGTTAAAGGGTTGTATCTGGACCTAGTCATACTTACTGTATAGTAGGCCACTGAAATCAATTTAAGTCCATTGATATTAGCATATTTATGCACTATATAAGACAAAATCCAACACAACCTGGTAATGGGAAGCCTCAGCAACAGATATGATACTTGGCATAACTTGTCTGTTTCGGGAGGCAACGGGGCCGGGAGGCAGAGGGCAGTGGGGCTGTTGTTGGAAGCCCAGGAAGCCGAAAGCTCCCATGAGGTGTGCGAAGAGCTAGGAATTGGTGTGCTATCCTGGTGTGTGAATATGAATACCCCCATCTCTATCTGAATTGACTTTCTTACCCTTCTTTGGAAGAAATAAAACCTCCTGTTATACTAGCTGTATAGGTAAGCCTGGTTGCTGATTTTGTCCCAACACAGCTCCTAAATAAGCCTTCCAGTCTAAGAGATCCAACTGTTGGTTTTGTCAGGTGGCACAGACACAGAGCTTTATTCATGGTGGAGGATGCAACTGCATCAGAATTAGGCATAGAATGTTATAACAGAAGATCCACATCTTGCTCTTGAATCCTACACATTTTCAAGTGACATGGAGAAACAAGATGGACAAGAGTTTGTGCCATGGTGATTTATTAGTCTCGTACAGGGAAAAAGAGTGGAAAATGCCACCAAAGCATTGCTTTGTGTAAGAACCAGTGAGAGGACCAGATCTTTGGCAGGTTCTTCCTGGTGATAATGGTATTTGAAGGCTTTTTGCGATCCAGATAAGATCAGAATGAGAAGTGTAGTTCTCTAATGGCGAGGGAGGTTTTATGGTATTTAACAGAGGCAGAGAGAAGGATTTTATTTGGGTTGTTGAGACTGCTCAAATCACATCTGCTTGCAACTCACTATCAAAGACAACATTGTGACAGAGCAGGTTTATTTTGGTCTTCTATCTGTAGTGTGTGAAACACCACTTGAAGATGAAGATGGCCCAACCAGAGTTCAAGGTGCCACTTGTGTGGTTAAGGACTGTAGTGGTGGTCAAAAGACACAGTAGACAGGGACATATATTGGTAATGCAGTAAATGTTGAGGTTGGTAGAGAGGAAATAAGGGATATTAAGGAAACTGTGGTGTTCTTCACTAAAGACCAGCTGACCAGTGACCGTAGAAGAGGTTGTAAGGTGGTGCTGATAGAGCAGTCATGGTAGATGTGATGTGCGGGAACCTTATGTCTGTGGAAAGAAAGTACTGGACCAATCCAGACCAACTGCCTAAAAAAAGTTGTATTTTGATCAGTGTAAGGGGGCAGGGGAAAATAATTCATCACGTTAAATTGTAGGGACAGGCAGAAGCAGACTGTCAGACAGTATGAGTTGTCATTCCAAAGAGACTAGTCAAGACTGAGATGGACATCAGTGAGAGGCTTTAAACAAAGTGTCTCACACAAACCTAACTGATGTAGCTCATAGAATATATAACTCTCAGCATGTTTCTACTAGGTGTTCAGCTGTTTCCAATTAGTTATCAAGAGACCTTGGGACACCAGCACTGTTTTTGCTTGGATCTTTCTCTTGGACAAATGGGCTTCATGTCTGTCACTCTCCTCCTGATCTGATTTTTCAGTGACAGAATTGGGCCCTTTAATTGCAAGACATTCTCTTCCACTTCCAAAAATTACTGATCAGTGTGAGCCAGGGCAAGTGAGTCTACTTTCCTGGGAAGAACACTATAGAGCCATGGTCTGTTACACTGAGGCAACTGCCAGTGTGGATACTGACTGATGTAGAAGTGGATGACAGTACAACTAGGGTGGTGATGAGTAATCTCTCAGTGGTAGAGATGCGAAGAGCATGACTGGGATGGAGAGCACTGTACAAAGGGCTATCATAGTGGTAGTACATAGTTTGTGGGGCTGTTTGTGCCACTAATACTTTAAGGATTCCTGGCAACTGGCAGAAGACTTCACTGGCAAGCCTGCAGCCAAGATCATTGTTTCCAAAAGAAAAAAAATCTCAGGTGAATTCTTGGATTTGGGTCAGTCTGGCTTGAACTGAGGTGATATGACCCTTGCCTAAACAATAACAAAAAAGGGGCCTTTAAAATGTTTTTGCCCATCTGAAAAAGAAATCTTACATTTACAGATGGAAAACAGTTGAAAAATATCCCTGGAACCCTTGGCTGGGGAGGGAGGAATAGGTGAAAAATGTACTAAATCTGTATATTCCAAAAATTCTGAAAACTCACAGAAGTGGCACTTCTTTAAAAATGTGCAGGCTCATTTACCTTTATATATCAAGCAGATCGTCCATATATGCAGAAATTGTTATGCTAGTTTTTTATTTTTTCTACTGTTTCCTAATTCATAAAATATGAAAGTTTGGTGGAGAACTTGATAACCTAAATTTACTGTATATGAATTTGCAATGCCTTTGGTTATCTAAGAATCCTACCCAGAATGTTAATCTGCTTATATATTAGTATGTCTATGTCATCAACATTACCAGTCAACACACTTTCATTTATATGTTAATCCTTTACCATTTCTCCATGTATGTTATTAATCTTCTTAGGACTAGTCATTTTCTTATGTTTGCATTTAGCATCCAACAGAAATCCTGATTATTAGGGCAACAGGCATCTTACAAAAATGTAAGAAAAGCAATGCAGATTGTACAGCTGAACCACTGCCTCTAAAAGAGTTCTTTGTGTATTTATTGGATTATTTGAAAGCTCTTGTTATATTTAGTCTGAATGTAACATTCCTAATAAGCAGTTTCATAGTAGGAAATGATGCCATCACTTTGCAAAAAAGGACACAAACAGGCCAATTTTTCACTTTTTGTGAAAGAAGTATTACAAATAGGGTGATCTAATTAATCAACATTGCAATACTATACAGTCTCGGGGTGAGGGAGAAGTGAAGTGTGTGAGAGTGAGCCGTTTGTGATCATAAAAACCATAGAAAGAGGAGAGGATGGGGGACGTGAGGAAGAGAAGGTGACCAAAGAGGTGACAGTTACGTAGGAGGCAGGAGAAGTTGAATTAAAGGAGAAGGTGGGAAAGGTGGAGATTTGTCTAGTAGAGGAGGATGTAAGAGGAGGGAAGGCGGAGCAAGAGGTGTCAGTATGGGAGGAGGATATAAGTGGAGAGGGGGTACGGTGTTTCAGTTTGGTGCTGGAGGATTATGAGAGAAAGAGGGAGGAAGCATGGAGAAGAGAAGTCGAGTACGTAAAGAATCAAGGGCTACTGAGAGACTTTCCCCACTTGAAGGTGGGGGGACTGTTGCCAGATCCAAAGCTGAGGGAAGACAAGCCGACCCAGTTTCAAATGCAGGAATGGACTCTAATAGTAGCACTGTGTGAGTTAGAGTTACAAAGAGAGACTGAGATAGCCCACAACCGCTTCTACGACAGACCGGACGAGCGAGGTTGGGTGAGGCATTCATGTTGTGGAACGATTTGCGCCCTGAGAAGTACCACTCCCCGAAGACCCATGTACCGGGAATGGCGTGGGAGGAAACAACCCCCCCCCCAATTGAGTCCGTGGGAGTATGGGAAAAGTTTCGGTTCATCTAGTTGTGGCCTGTTGCCTGAGTTGAGAATATTTGACCCCATGAATAATGTGCTAGAGATGAGTGACAATAAAAATGACAGTTTAAGGGTTATTAAGACATCTCCTGTTTTATTTTCTGCCAAAAGTGAGGAGTTGCCCAAGGAGAACAGTGAACCCAATCACAGCTCTTCTTTGAGGTAGGAAAGATCAGCCCTCAGATTGGACCCACAAATACATTCCCTGCAGAAAACTCTATAGGTCTTGCCCTTCCACTAACAGAAGTCTGAGAGGCACAGCTAGGGAGGACAAGAGGAATATCACAGGTGGATAGGGAGAGGATTTGGAGTCTCAGGATCCATCAGGTAGCAAACAAAGTGTCCAGTGGAGAGAAGGGCTTTGTTAACTATCATAATTATTCCAGTGCAAATCATGCAAAGAAGTTGGACCACAGACTAGATTGAAAGAAGATGCTGTCTCCCCTCCCCTTACATTTTACTAATATGTGAACCACATCTGGACCACCATATCTGGACTGTTCTGTATCCATATACAAGTAGGACAATCATTTTCTCTCTAGTAGGCTGACTTGCTAGACTCCATCATTTTCCCAATATTAGTTATCAGTATATACTAGGAACAAATAAAAGTGCATCAGCAGTCATTTCTGCTCAGATCAAAAGTGAATACTCATCCCATTGATTTCAAACAGAATTGAGTGCAAATAACTTCATCTGTATTAAACCATTTGAATTTCTAGGGTTCAAACTACATGATCATACATCATTTGTTTATGTGGATACTTACTGTAGAGCTCCTTCTTATAGCTGCCGAAATTCAATCAAAAATTCAGGTAGGACAAATCCTATTGAACTGAAGAGAGAAATTAAGACACAGACTGCAAGTATGGAGAGCAGAATCCACAGCTATGGAAAGAAAGATACAATACTGGAATAGCAGCAGAAAAATAATAGTTGCAATGGGGATCATTATAAATCATAGATAGGAAGGAATATCTGTGAAAAGGATTGAGCTTTAGCTTATTTATGTTTATGAAGCACCAACTTGTCTCACTTCCATCTTTTAACAGGAGCCTCATGGCACAGTGGTTAAGATGTAACAGTCAAAACTGCTCACGGTCAGCAGTTGATTCCGGCAGCCCACTCAAGGCTGACTCAGCCTTCCATCCTTCCAAAGTTGGTAAAATGAATGCCTAACTTGCAGTGAGAGGGGCAATGTGTAGCTTGTATAATTAAAATTATAAACTGCCCAGAGAGTGCTTTAAGCACTATGGGGCAGTTTATAAGCAGCACACTTTGCTTTTTTAAAAACCTATCCCAAAGCTGTGGCATTGGGAGTAGAGGGAAGCACTTCCAGGACTTTTGTGAAACATCTTTTTCTGCTATGGACTGCAAGTAGGACTATACTTAAAATCATTTGTGGGAAACTGAATCCACAGACATCACTGGGCTTCTTCATGGAAATAATGCAAGTAGTGTTTGATAATTACAATAACCTACACACCTCCACTAACTTAGGGACAGAGAGACAAAGTTCACCAAGATAGAGTGTCAAATATAGAAAAAGTGGAGAAGCTACAAAAATTTATTTTCCAACAAAATAACTCTCCACAAGCAGTGTAAACTTTTCTTACTAAAACAAATACTCTAAAACACAAAAATTGTACATTTCCAGTGAAACACTCACAGTCACATTTGCCTGTGTTTTCAACTTTCCTGGATTCTCAGTGAAGAGCGAGCAGATTAATGCTTCCCCAATTACCCGTAGCCGTAAACTTCCTCATGTTGCTTGCCTGTAATACGGACTTTTAGAGTTATAGACAGAAGACGACTGACTGGATTGTTGGAGTAACTTCTGTGCTTAGGGCTGCCTAATGTGCTATGATTTGGCCCTAACTGTCACATTGCACTGTTCAGATGCATTGCCTATTTACTTACATGAGCGGTGTGATGCGTGAAGTGAAGGAATGGAAGACTGTGTGCTACTTCTATAAGATGGTATACTCAAAAAGTATGGCAATTTCTAATGGAAGTTGCCTTGGAGTTTTCCATTAGTCTTCCGCTGACACTGCACTACACAAGTGATGAGATCTTATGCCTGAGCAGCTGAATTTGTAAGTTATGGTTGATCTATAGCATGTGGTTTGGCCCTCACAATCTTTTGGGTACCCATAGCATCCACTTTTGTCATATTTATATCTGTGCAATATTGTTTTAAACACAAGCACACTCTTGTACACCATACCAAGTGTGGCCTGCCAAGCTGACAGGAAAAAAGATGTCTGTGTGCCTACTGCAGTTAATGTGTACTGTGCAGAGTAGGGCCATTTATAGTGTCACGTTATTTTTGTCACAGATTTGAAATGCAAAACATAAGTTTGCAAGGATAATCCAACCTTTTATCTAAAGTATTCATTCCTATTTACACTAAGTACAAGAAAGTGTGTCTAGAGTGAACACTGTTAACAAATTCCTGAATGAGGCTAGTTCAAGTTGCCAGTAATTCAAAAGCAAATCTGCTGACTTGGCATTAGGACTCTAAAACAGTGTAGTCAATTGTATGTAAGAAGGTGTTTGCAGAAATAACATTTATAAACGGTCTATACAGTACACAGTACCAGTACATAGAAAAGAGATTTTCACTTTTATGATCCCCTGTAAGGCAAGGCTGAATTTTGTCCCCAAATGTAGTCCGCTAGAGATACAAGCAACAGAAAGTGGCTTTTAATTCATAAATTGGGTGCCTACAGATTTGAAAAATCAGAATTGATGAGAGGTTAAATTTTGGATGTGCTGATTTTGGCTTGCTGAAAAACATGAGCAGTTATTTAAACATCAATTGTATTTTGTCTGAAAACATTTAGAACATCTTGATGGCAACAGATATTGTTCAGGTGGCAGCTACCAAAAACAGCTTTGGGGGGGGGGGAAGGAATTTTGCAATTGTACTATGCCGATGTGTTACAGCAGTAATCAAAATAAATATTCTGTTTCACACTATTGCTGTGAAAGCAACAGCAATACAAAATCAGCATATAGAACACCACATTTCTGTCATTAAAAATCCAAATTGTGAGTGTGTATCTGTGTTTTGAAAAGGGGCTTTGTCATACACAACCTCAAAAGAAACACAAAACTGCTGGAGGCAAATGTTACTGGTGGATATACACATCCCTCTTCCATTCTGCTGTATCGCGTTTCCTAGAGATTACTTCCCCATCCCTGTCACAATACTGGTCCCTTGATTTATGTCGGCTGCGCTGCTTGTTGCCTTCATTATGGTCCTGCTCTCGGTCTCTTTCTTTTGAGCGGTGCCTTGATTCTCGATGTCTGTGATCACTGCTCCCATGAGACTCATCCCTGTGACTGTGATCTCTATGAGAATCATAATGTTCATGCGAGTAGTTCTCCTTTGGCTCCATGTAGGCTGAATCTCTGCTGTCTTGTGTTTCTGAGTCAAAGGTTTCTTGCCTAGAGAGGCCACGGCTAGTTCCACTACGATGGTTATGGTGATGACCTGAAGAGGAAGAGCGGTGTTGAGATTTCCTGGTGGGTTCAGCCCGTGCTTCTTCTTCCCCTTGAGAACCAGTTCGTTCAATGGTTGTTTGTTCATTCCTCTGATCTCCTTGAGAGCCCTAATCAGTACAACAGAATTGTAAATTTCACTATGACAGAAGTGGAACAGAAAACACCTGTTAAATTAGCAACACCACAATCTTAAAAACTACTTTGGAGCTGAAGTGTTGATCCATAACAATCCCATTCTAGAGTAAGTGGTTTGAAGGCATTAACCTATGACTAGCAATCTTGGTCTACTCTAAGAATTTAAGAGTTCAACCATACTGGAGATACTGCTTTATAATACAAGTGGAAGTTCTTTTCAAAAAAGGAAAATCTATTTTCTGATAGATTTCAAATTCCAATGATCATACTAGTTTTTAAAAACATTCTGATTAGGTCACGTCCCAACACAGACACACCACACAGAAAGTAAAGCGAAATCTGGTAATGAGGTGGGTGAGTTTAGGCACCAAGTAAACTTAAGAAACTTTCAAGAGCAGGCATCAGTGGAAAAGATCAACCACAAGCAATAGAATGAAAACAAACAAGAGGAGTTTACATTTTAAAAACAGGGATTTTGTCCTTAAAATAAAGATTTATCAAAAGTCTCAAATATGATAGCACTTGTATTATAATACCAATAATATCACTGCTGTACTGTTTTTCAAGGCATTTAAGTAGCACTGTAACTGTATTAAGAGATCATTTTGACTTCACAAGTTATGTATTTGAAAAGACTGAGCTTTGCCTTCCAAAAAACAGACACAGTGAAATTATTTAATTTCCTAGAATTGAACTGAAAACAGAAGTAAAAATTACCAAGCATAATCAAACCTAATCTTCATCAGCACAATGTTTTGAAATCACTGAAAAATGAATAATTGTAATTAGTTATCTTAGCTTAAAAGTTCAATTATGTCAGTCTGTTACAAGTTTCACCAACAAAACCATTCAGAAGCAAACACAAGCACTTTAGTTATTATTAATAAAATATTACATTCAGGTATTCAGTCTGCCTGATGGTTAAAACTAGGTCATTTAAGGCAACAACAGAATTTTCTCCTTAAACTTGCAGATAGCATTTGGTCTTCAAAGAGTCATTATATATAGTGTGGTAGGTCCAAAAGTAGGGTTATGACTATCAAGGCTTTAGTCTTGTATTAGCTGCATAATCTTCCAACAGCTTCCCGTATTATTTCTATGCAAAGCAGTGCTACATTTTTGAGAACCATCCTTTTCAGAGATCTTGGGGCTTCTACTATGGGTTGAACATTAACTATTTATGTAACTTTCCATTAATGTGATATCTGAAAGCTGTCTGCAATATTTACATATTGGGAATTAGGAACACAGTCATGACATGAACAGCTACCACAGTACATGTGATAGCACATATGCCCACCAAGGGTTTTTTTTTCAAATCACTTGTACCTGTAAATTAACATTTTGGCCAGGGTTGATAGGAAGAGTGGCAGTTGCCAGTGTGCGAGTGAGAAGCTGATTCGGGGGATGGCTACTAGCAGGATGTGTGGCCTTCCAATAAGCTTCCAAATAGTCAGCTAGGTGCTCACATGCATCTTCAAGTTGATTCTCATCCAGAATTACATCAAACATTTCCTGCAAACAGAATATTTTAGTCAGAAGAGCCACAGAAATAAAAATCAAACACTCAAAAATCAAATCTATAAATCAACTATAGAAATGGAAACACACCACTTCATTACATGCAAATCAAATAACTTGTGGAAGTTGATTATTGCTGCTTTCACAATAGGTTTATTCACATACAGCTTCAGCTGGTAAGACTTAACTCCTGCATAAAGTTAGTTATGCTTAAATTCATTGATTTTAATGGTTTAGAGCACTGGTTCTTAACCTTGGTTTACTCAGGAGTTTTGGACTGCAACTCCCAGAAGCCTTCACCACCAACTGTGCTGGCTGGGGTTTCTGGGAGTTGCAGTTCAAAAACATCTGAGTAACAAAGGTTAAGAACCACTGGTTTTTAGAGTAAGTCATACTTTGTGTACATACAACTGAACTGTAATTAGATAAAGTACAGGTATTTCTACCCTTGTGGCGAGGACCGCTGCAAAAATCATCACATATATTCGCCTTGAGTTAATAAAAAATAGGATACAGTCTTGCATTTCCATTAATATATATTAAGAATAACTTACTGGAGGGCACTGAGCCAATTTATCAGCGGCTACCATTTGAACATTAAGGTGCTTAGCCTGAGATTTTCCTCGGGATTTTATCAATCTCTGTAAAACCTGTGGGAAAGGTAAATACAGTTACATACGAAAGAATGAGAAAGTCAAATATAGAACTTAGAACCACGTGAAGACAGACTGCATGCAAAGATGGCCCAATTCAAGTCTCCAGGCATGGTATCAAAACAGGAACACAGATGGAATGTCACAACTGAAAAGGACCTGTTCTAGTGTCCTCCATTTTAATTTTACTGGACTGTGTTTATTTTGTGGACTTGGGAGACAAATCAATGCACTGGTCATCTCTTGGATAGGTTTGCTACTTGACTCTATGAAAACAGCTCCCTACACAAAGAAAACCAATTCTACCATATGATCTTTCACAGTATAGTTGCCATATCTTTTTGGAGAGTAGTACTGAATACTACTGTTCCTTCAGCCTTAAGCAGAATTACAGCTGCAACATACGTATGGAAACCACTAGTTAACTGATTGTGTCAGGAATAAACTAACTCAACAATATTTACAGGCAATTGTATTAAAATTTCACCCCATAGGATAGGACGGGGAGGTGGGGGTGGGAACTGGACTAAAGATTAAACCAACACTTGAAAATATTTACCTTTGGGGAGGAAATCTTTACATATACTATAATGGGAGCCAGAGAGGTTTTACTAAGTTGAGCTGGATGATTAATAGTATCAGCATCAAGTACTACCAGTTGTAATGTCCTTGCTAATTCAAATATTCGTTCAATTTCACTCTGTACTTCCGCTGCAGAAAAGTAAAGGAAGTCAAATTAAAACAGTGTTAAAGAACAACTGACTTTGAAACAATTAAAAAACAAATCTTAACACATGAAGGCATGTAGCATAATGGGGGGGGGTAGGCCTTTTTCAATTTAAGCATTACAAGGTTTTCTAAAATGTGATCATGGTTCCAGTGACTACGTGCTCCTGAAGGCTACCTTTTCAGCCTTGCCTTGTTAACAGGTTTCTGTCATTTCTGTATCAGTCATGAAATATGCAGGCAAACAAATACATAATGATTTTACAGCTCTCTTGTGTGAACATCCACAAATAGATCTTTTATGCTGATGGACAACCCGATGCAGCATACATTCCTGGCATTTTTGGGATCTGGTATTGTATGATTCATTGCATTGAATGCTTTGCATTTTCCAGGGCACATTTTCCATTGTTGCTGCTGACAAAAGACTGCTAGCTGTCAGAAAGTAGAGAAGACAAAATCACACCTTCCATTTTTCCTCAGTACAGCTGCCACTACAGGATCCTAAAGCAGGAAAAGGAGGGATCCAATACAGCTGATTCCATGTTTCAAATGTAGCATTTGTGCTTAACAAAAATAGTGAAGAGTTGCAGGGTTTCAAACCCCTGATTAACTCCATTAATGAGATTAATGAAAGCAGACAGAAGAAAACCTTTTTAAAGTGATATCAAGAGTTGACAGAAGGTCCCATCAACTCCTATTTATGAAGGGCCTACTTATCAGAGGAGAAAGGCTTCCCCTATTTATGCTTGGCAGTATCTAGGACAGTATCCTCAACTGAGCATCCTCAAAGGGCCAGTACACAAAAAATAGCAACCAGAGGATCATTATATGAAACATTCCTATCATGTTTGGTTCAGATTTCAAAACTGCATTCTCCCTTCATGATTTGGGGCTGTTAATGAGTCACAGAATATCTCCCAACTCCAGCCCAGCAAATCTACCTGGTATACTAGTACATAAGAGTTGGCATTAGGTTGTCATCATTAATATTGCAAGCAAGGGTTAAGCTTTCAGTGCAGGTATTGCTTTATAATTCATAACAACAACTAAAAACAATTTTAATAATATTTGGAGAGAGGCCCGAAAGAAGGGATTTAGGCAGAAGATGATAATAATTGTTAATTTTTAAAGCAAATTATAATGACATAGCAAAACCAATCCTACCTGCCCATTGAGAATGCCATGATGTATATTCTAAGCCCTACAGGTTATTAATAAATGCTTCTTTTTTAATCCAGTAGAGTACAAGCAAATCTTACTCTGATTAGGCTTTATTACCATGTTACATTATCAAGCCAAATTAGATTAGTTTTCTGTCTTGAAACTGGAATCATCTGGGTTAAAAGTAAAAAGAATGGCATCAACCTGTAGTTATGCTTGCTCATCGGTGACCAAAAATCTTCCTCAATCCAACTTTCACTTTAAAGCTTTTAAATGTCTGAAACATATTTTTGAAGCTCAGCTCTAACAGCTTGCCTGGGGCTTTACTGATTTCTGTTGTGGGTTAGAGTTCATTTTGGAAATAAGAACCCCATAACTGTTTTCTCATATATTATCATTTTAGTATCCTTGGGAACTATTTTTGCCATTTTGGTTATGAAGAATGAAGCACTATGGCAACTAAGATGAAAACAAGGTGTAAATCTTTATATCGCTATCATGATGGGTAGGTAGTCCTTGTTCTAATTCCAAGAATAGTGCAATTTTGGCCAAGGTTGTATTAATTAGAGAAAAATGAGACATTTTTCTGGTTTACATTTAGATGTAAACACAATTATGTATCCTTCAATATTTGCACTCTACTGAATTTTAGATGTAGTTTTCTGATCAAGAAGCCTTAGAAAACCAGATGTTTTCGTAGTAATCCATATTTTAATATTCTACATGGATGGATTTGCAATGATGCTTGCAACTGGCATTGAACAGCGAATCTAGTTTGCATACACTAGTGATGCTGGACTAATTCTCAACACATCAATTACATATACTGTATATCGAAATTCACAGATTCTTTAAATATCTAGAGGTTACTCTGGAAAGGGCTTTATATGAAGCATACAGCAACAAAACAGTTAAATACAGCTTCTACAGCAGGATTTTCAAAGCAATATACCTCTATTATACTTGAGCATATAATGCAAGCATATATAGCACTGTTATACACTGGAGGATTGTAATGACACAGGTCCATGCCTTTGCTTTTACACATGCTAATTTAGTGTTTGGGACTGGTATAGTACAGATTTTAGGTACATAGTTTAGGGTTCTGGTTTTTAGAAGTCCATATTTTTGCACCATTTACATCCTGATTTCAAACATCAAACAATTGGCAATGTCTTCTATAATAGAGAACTCAGTACAAAGCACACATGACTTGTTTTTACTATTACAAAACCTACTATCATAAATAGATAGTGGTTTTGTGTGGTACAATACATACTGAACACACACACACAAAAGGAAAAATAATTAGCAACCATCTATACATACCCAAAACATCTGGAAAGGGAGGGCATTAATGAAGCAAAGAATGGAAAAACCCAACACAATCAGGTTCTTGTCCAAAGCATACAGAATGAGATAAGGTTACAACAAGAGTAGCTAAAATGCAACATACATGGGAACAAACAAGAAAAAGGATTGGGTTCTTGAGACTGATGCAGAAATGAAGCAAACACCATAGATTTGGTTCAAAAGCTTACACAAATACCAAGTACACATAAAGAAACATATATGACTACTGAGTTTTACTCATGTGTTCTCAGTAAAGACCTTTTTCAAACAAATATACTTTCATGTTTTAAAGACTTGGGTGGTGTCTAATATAAAGAACAGAATAAAGAACAGAATGAATAGTGATTTATTCAATAGCAAACACAGGTCCTATTAGAGAAAATTAACAGTACAGTTGCTTGCGACTCACTTGCCATTAACTTTAGTCAGTATGCTTTTTGACAAACACAATGTGTATAGCACAATGGGCAACACTGTATGCACACAAATGTCCATGAAAACACAATCTGTTAGACTGTAATGACATGAAGTGAACCTAGAAATATTTCTTTTGGAGGTGTAAGAATTTCCATGATCTGACATTCTTATATGGCCACATGTTACAGCCCTCTTGCTGAATCTAAGCAGCTCTAAGTTTTTTTCAGTGCCTGAAGAGGTCTCTATTTGTATACCTCAGCACACTGCCCGACCTTCCATAATGGAAATGGAATACAATTTATTAAGTAGCACAAACAAACATGTTTATGGCTAAAGCTTTCATTAACAAAAGTGACTACATACAGTATTTTTGAACAAACATATTCTAATACTGTACATCACAAGGAAGACCCTTTGAGGAAAAAACACTCCCCACTTTTTATGTTAACAGGTTTATGAAATACAAAGTAAGCCAATGTGTAAGGATTTATAATGGGTGGAGTAAGATCATAAACATGTAAATCCTTTTCAGAATCAGAGTTAGGCTATAATCTGCCCAGAACCTAGGTCAAGAGTACTCCTGGGGAAAAAAAACAATTCTACTATTTTGAAACATATGTATACATTCAGATCAGTTGGCCAAGAAGTATAAGCGTGGTTTGGCTCAGTACAATAAACAGATAACACCAAAATTAACTTCACAAAGAAATACTAATGCCTAAAGTGGTATCTATGATTTACTTAGCTTATAAATATCTCTAGTGATGTTGTGGTGACACTATAAGTGGAATCACACTACGTAATCCATCTTTTTATAAAAAGAACATAAATAGTGTTGGATGATTATGGTTTGTCATAATTTGCAGCTTTCACACATCAAACACTTACCTAAGCTTGACCTTGTATTAGATCGTTCTATTATCGCATGCTTGCTGGGATTGTTTAATACTGAGCGTTTGGCAAGCGAGATGTCTGCTGTTACCCGTGTGATTGATATACTAACATTAAAAGAGGGGAAAAGAAATAATACAATTCATTGTTCAGCATTCTGGGAGATGAAAATACATGAATAGCCAAAAAGGGGGGAGAGTATTCTGTGTCCCACACAAAGAATCCTTCACGGGAACTTGTGTTAGATTTGCTGTTAGGCTGAGAATGAAAGACAATGCTTTTAGCTGTTTGTGACATCAATTTGCTTTCCATCAATTTTGCGAAACCTAAAATTATGGTTTCTCCAAGTTCTGGAAGAATTTCTGCTGCACACTAACAAATAACGTTCTAGAATAAGATATCTGGGATAAATTCCAAGTACAATACCAGCTGGACCACCCATCATACATATGCATTTAATCTGACTAACTGTAGTATATCAGCTGTTGTTTGCTTTTTTTACATGGTACTCTATGGTATTCCCATTTGGATCAGTGAATACAATATTCCTGTAGAGACAGTCCCAGTCACCCTTCTGTGTTATATTATGAGGGTTCCCAAATGTGTAGAATACACAGCCATGTATCTGGCTAAACTAGCAAACAGCAGCTTCAGAAAACCACAAATATTTTCATTTCAGATTTAGAAAGATGGATTAAAATATTTTTAGGTTTACCAAAGTTCTTGAATACTTACCGCCCTTCAAACCTATGTTTTAGAAAATCAAATAATGCTTTCTGCATCATGTCAGTAACCTGAAAATAAAAAAGAAAATATTCATAGTTAATAAACGTAATGTAAGATTAGTTAATTACTATTCCTACAAGAACAAATTTATTCTGGACAATGGATTCAGGGAAGCTATGTTAAATTCTGCCTATTTTGACATTATCAGTATTTTAATATAGGCAGGATGCCATGTTTTGTTTCGTTTTACTAATTCTATTTTGAATTAGAAAAAGAAATATTTCACCTCAATTGTGTCCTAGCTTGAAACAAGAAGGCTACATAGTTTTGAATAACGTTATTTCTTACCTCATAACCCTTTAAGGAAGGCCCCACTAAGACTACTGGTCGCATAGAAGGCACTACATCATACGGAGGGATGTGCTCTGTCTGATAAGGAAAAAAAGCACTTTGAATATTCAGTTTCGATGCAACTGTCAATTTGCTGCACAGATTTGTATAACAGAATTCTCAACAGTGGCACCAAAGGGGAAATCTGATATACCTTTTGCCCCCAACATATTCCAAAAAAATACTTAAAGAGTACCAAAACATATTGGGAGAATGTTTGGTTAATATTTCTATCCAAAACTTTTCTACTGCTAGTTTAAAGTATTTCTGAAATATAACAATCATTTCAGGAATACCAAAAAATGCACATCATGTAACTGAAGATGTCTACCACTCTGAAAGAATGGTGATTCTATTGCTACCAGCTTCTAAGATTCATATTGGCAAGGAACTTCTAAAATCTAATAGTGTCATTAAGGGAGTAAGGACAACAAGCAAACAAAAGGGACACACTACTAGCCTTTATCTTTCAGTACAAACACAGTAGGACCCCTGTATCTACAGTTTCAGTTATCCACAGTTTACTGCAGCCCTATACACAGTACAGTATACAAGGAGATGTGCCTTGTAGCCTTTGTTTTACCTCCTTGTATGCTATATACAGGGTTCGCTACCATCTGTAGTTTCAGGTATTTGTGGTACACTGTGGAATAGATCACCCACAAGGGGGTATTTTTATGGTACTGTGTTCTGCTTAATAAATTACTGGCTTGATGTATCATGCAAACATTATGAATGAGTAAGTGACCAGTCAATTCATACAATATATAATACAATCATATGCAGATATGATTTTAAAAAATGGAGTTTTTAAAATGGCCATTACTATACTAGCACCACAAAAAGTGGCTGATTTTAAAACACTGTTTTAGGTTTGTTTGTTTGTGTGTGTGTGTGTGTGTGTTTGTGTGTGTGTGTTAGGACAAAATGTTTCAAATTCAAAATCACCAACCTGGAAAAAGCTTAAAAGTAGGTATGCCAGATCTATTTTTCAAGGGCCTATATAGTATAAATACATCAGTCAACATCACAGAATGTTGTCAGTATCCATTATTTCAGTACTCAAAATGTCCCAAGTGTAACCATAATAAATTCAATAAGGTAAAATATAGACATAAAAAACAAAGACAAACATTAAATGCAGCAACAACACAAAATGCCACATAAGCAGCAATCTAAAGCAGTCTAAAACATGAAACACACATTTATGTCAGAATTTGTTTACATGTAAATTCAGCACACAATTGATAAAATAAGAAAAATGATGAACTGTGCCCAAGGCATCAAAAGCATGTAAACTTAATTTTTAGTGCCAGATTTCTCTGCTTAGAAGCAAAGCCTATACATCTGCTGTGTAATTATGAAGATATGATGTTAACATTATTGTTGTTATGATCATAAATAATCTGATGCATGCATTACTGCAGCAGCCCTTAAGAACTATGCTACAACTCTTATATTTAGCAGATCAGTGCCCTGCTGTAATACATCCGTGTGTTATAGTGGCTATCTATCAAAGCCTCACACTAATTGTAACCCTTGAAAATTAGGGTAGGTACAGGAATTACCTTATTTGATGGAATACTCATATCTGTTAAAATTTTATGCCAGCTTTCAGCTTTTCTCAGCTCTAATTAACTATGCTGTAGTGGCAATATGTTGAGAGACTGAAATGGGCTACAAGAGACTTTTCTCTTTCTGTTGCTATTTTAAATTCATTCCATAAATCTAGAGGGAATGATCCTTCTATCTGATAGCTGTGCTTTCTCTGTTACAGCGAGTTAATTAGAATGTCTGTCCAGATTTGGGTGAACAAATGTCAACACATGACAGGAATTAACACTGCACCTGGTAAATTTGTGGACATTTGAGAATTCATCTTTCATTGTGAAAGAATTAAAAATTAATAGTCACTTCTAGAAATGACCCTTCATTATTAGTAAAGATCTAACCCAATAAAATATACTACATTTAAGCAAAGTGTGTATGCAATTAAGGTAACAATTGTAAACATTTATTTACTGAATTTATATATCATATTTCTGCAAAAAATGTATAATCCAATGTTGGTTCTGTTTTTCTTCACTACCACTCTGAAAGTAGTGGGCAAAGAAACTATGGTATTAATAAAGGAGGATAACAGAGGCAAACAAGGGAATTTTTTTAATTTAAAAAAAGAATTGAATGGGGTTAGCAGAGACAGTCATGGGGATTAGAAATACAGTATGTTGTTGCTCAGCATAGACCACACTGGCAAAACAATGGTCCCTGGAAGATGATGTATTCAGTAAAATGTGTAGGTGTCCATCTTTTTTAAAATATTGAGATGCTACTTTTCAAAAGAATAAATAGCTAACTTTACTGTTTAGTTGCTTATAAACAGCTGCTAAATAAATTCTGTATAGAACTTGAGAAGCATCTTGTAGTTCCCAAGAATTGGATGAAAAGAACAATATACCATGTTTGTCAGCCTCTCTGTAGAGTAGCTTTGACTATGAGGGGAGCCACCTGTTCTGTTACCTAATAGGCAAGATGCTACAGTCTGACTGTTGGAGGAGAAGGCAAGAACAATGGGGAAAGAATTTATATATGACAATAGGAAAAACTCACAGTAGACCGCCAAAACAAGTCTGCAGTTTTCCACTGGTCTTGCTCATCTGCAGATTTTGCACCTAGTGGATTAGAAGTTTAAATACTGACTAAATTAAAAATTGAAAGTTCTTTTTGAAGAACAAGATCTCTTTAGATTTAACAAAAATGAATTATAATTAAAAACTGAATTACAAGTAAAAAAAAGATCTAGAAAAATGACAAAGAATATGCATGCACTATACTGGTGCATTATCTGGTCTTGTCAAAGTTTTCTTTCTGAATGTTTAAAGAAATTCCCTTGGCAGCCTATTATTCCATCAAAAAGGAAAAGTACCGTAAACAAAGTTTGACTGAATTATTCACAGGGCCTAGTCTGCTTGTTTTTACTGTACTGGATGAAATAGTAGTTTGATCAGTTTTTTCCATTCCTCTAAAATGATTTCATTATATAAACCATAGGTGATGATGCTAATGATGCCAGTGGCAGAAAAAACACAGCTTGTGCCAGCATAAACTTACCGATTTCTGCTTCTGCTTAGCTACAGCAGCATGGAAAAGAAACAAAGAATAACAAAGCATGCACGTTATTGGCTTGTCGAAGGACGCAGACAGTCAACAGGACTCTAAATGTGACACAGTGCAGGTGAGCAGGTGTACAGATGGCAGCTTGGAAGTAGGCGTTACCTTCTTAAAGAAGGGCATTCTTTTCTCTTTGGAGTGGGGTGATGTGACACTGTTTGCACTGGGTTTGGGGGAGCGATGGTTTGCTGGAATATCAATTTCTTCTGCATCTAAACCAGTGGCATCTATGTCTATAGCTATATACAGATAAACAATGTAAAATTATCAGATGGCAGGGGGAAAAGTGTTAATGAGAAACATCAAGCACCAAGTACTTCAGTGTCAGACATCCACCAGGAATACCAAAGAGATGCAAAACAAAAGAGGGAAGTTTTAAAAGGTAGAATACATCAGGATTAGAACATGCACAATCTGAATTATATCATTCAGTCTTATTTATTCCCAATTGTACGGTATATAACAAACTGAAAAAGACAAATTTATATTCTCTTATACTGCTACATATATTTAAAATAAACACTGGAAGTTCATACCAACCTAATGAATCTACAATCAGACTCTCAAAGCCAGGGCATAAACTGGGCCACAGGAAACCTTCCAATCCAAATGGCACAGATTAATTAATTTCAATGAATGCATAATGAGTATGTCTATCCTGAGGCAGCACAATGCTCTTTGAGTTTATGATCTTTTTTGTTGTAGAAGTGCCCAAAACCCATTTAAAAGGAATGGAAGCCTTACAAATGGATTGTATCATAGGGGGCTGACCTCTGAGAGTTAGACTTAAATGTTTAATTCTTCTTTGTTCCTCCCAGAAACAGATGCATATGACAATTCCAGTAATGATTTTAGAGATCAAAGTTCACTTCCTATGTAAAATGTTAATCTGTTTCCAGACAGATGGAGATATTTTAGTACCCCAGAATACTCTTGCAGGATTCTCACAGAACTAGATTTACAAACTAGGCTTTTTATAATACTTTCACTTGAGTAGCTTTAAATACTTTTCATGCACAGTGGGTTTTTTTAAAGCCCAAAAATAAATCCTACGTCTAACATTGTCCTAACAAATCTATTAAATTTTTGCCTAAGCAAAAATAGTTTTTGCCTAAGCTAATAGTATATTGTTAAAAATATTTCTCATTAGGTTTTTTAGCAGGCCACAATACTAGGATGCAGGAGCAATATATTATATGATATATTGTCAGTATGATGATCCAGTTCCAGGGTTGAGGGCATTGGAATTTGCAAAGGATAGAACCTATAAAAGACCCAATAATTTTAATCCTTGTTAACTCTCACTTCATTAGGTAACAGAAAAAATCTCGGATTTCATTCAACACAACTGTTTTTAAAAAGAATTTTATATGTTATATACAGCATATATGAAACACAGTCAAATTAAATATTTGCTCCTGTTAAATTTTCTGAAAATCATGCTTAATAAAACTATGGCTGAAAAAAATGTGTAAATCAACATTATACACATGGAAGCTCCAATTACACCAAAGCAGAGGAGCTGGTCACAAAGCACTTTCACAGGCACATTGCACATTTGGTCACAAGAGGAAGTGTGTGACTGATTGCAGAATCAAATTGTGCAATCTCCATTGCTAGGGCATAAAACCCAGAACATTTCTACTGGCATTATGTTACATTATGCCTAGACAGATTCTGGCCTATGTTTCATACTGTCAGAGATGTAAAATATTCTCAGTGAAAATTATCTGCCACTATCTGTAGGAAATCAGCAGTTTGGAAATTAGATCTATTTATGTGCAATTACAGCTGATTTAGCACCGATTTACTCTAAGCAAAAGGAATACAATGAATACAATCATAGTACATAAAATTGCACACTTGTAAATTATGAGTATTTTAAGAGAACAGAAAAAAGAGGAAAATTAGAAATTCATTTGGAAAATGTGATGTACAGTTAGTATAAAAATGAAAACATCACAAATTTTCTGTTTTCATATCTTGAATATATTTTAGATGTTACTCTCTTTGGGGTTAAAACCGTGTCATGATTCTTTTTGTTGACTAGCTTTCTGATTTGTAACAGTATTGCCATAGTGGCTAATAATGATACTACTGGCAGTAAAACTTGATATGTTTAGAATATGTTTGTGACTAGTAGTAATACAACTGCAAGTTTTCCAGAGTCCTCAGACCTTCTAGAGTAGTCTCTCTCTTTCGGTCAGACTAGATATTGAAGGAAACCGACTGCTTGAAATTAACGGTGCTTTACTTCCAGTGATGGGATTTCCTCAGAGATGTGTGTCTCAATGAGAAGACTTGCTAAGCAAACTTATCTTTATTATTCAATGATGAGTCATAAAATAAAACACACTGGAATACAAGCTATGAAGAGAAACAGCACATGCTGTGACAGATGTCTTTCATAACATGATGAACTGCTTTTAATGATGTCCCAAGCATCTTATCTACTTTGATTCTCAAATTCTATTCAGTCATATTTTAAAATGTTTGGAACACAGACACACTAAGCTGGACACACTAGCCCTCATCTTTTTTTCATCTCTTTGATCATGAAAATATGACCATCTAAAGAGAGGGAGGCTGATATTCCCAGGTAGCCTCTCCATGTGAACCAAAAGCCCACCGAATCAGAGTTCTGGCTCATGGAAAGCGGCTAGCTGGTATAGCAGTTTCCTTCTCTGCTGACAGTCATGCTTCTGTGATTAAACAGGTAGTGGATGAGGCAAGGGCTGGCTTGCTCCCCTCAACAAATGTGAGCTCTACCTGCTTTGACGGTACAGGGAAAATGTTGGATGGAATTCCACTGAAGGCCTTTTTCAATTGCTGTATTGTAGTTTTGGAATCTGGTTCATAGGGAGTCTTGCCTAGCACTTCTCTCATGTCCTTCAATAAATGCTGAAAAGATTTTGGCCTGTTCATGCAACTCAAGTAAAAAAACACACAACAAAACAAGCTTATCTTAAAATGCTTACCATAATAGTATTGAGTAACTGATTTTGTATGCTTTCACTTTTTATATAATTGTTGTAGGGGGGATTTTTGTTTATTTGCTCTGCGTGCTATGTATACAAAATGCAATATAAATTGTGACAGTTAATAGATCAAATAATGAATTTAGAAACAGTTTCCATAATGTGAAAGAAAATGACAACTGAAACATTTTGTGTGTAGTAAAAACTATCAAATCTCTGCTATGTTAGAAAGCTGCTCCGTTTGTACCCATAATAGTGCCAGTCCACCACAGCTCCTCAGAATTATAAATCAGTTGTTCTGAAATCCAATCATGGTTACTGGGGGCAGACCTCCCCCACCCTTCTCCCTTGATGCTTTGCTTACATAAGCAACAACACACCTGAAGTGTTGAGATTTGTCACATCTCACATGAACAAAGCAAGAAGTGAAGGGGCAAGTTCCTGTCTCCCCTGTAACCCTGTTGCCAGTTTCAGGACAACTGAATTAGGCTTTTAATGTAACACTAAATACCAGTTTTATGCTATGAAAATGAGCCAGGAGAAGCTGTGGCTCACTCTCCTCTTATATGGCCATAAGCAACTGAGAAGTTTTTCTTTCCATTTCTAATCAACTGCAGTTTCATTTGAACCTAATGCATTGTGGTTTATTGTTAGTGAGAGAAGAAACAACTTTTATTAGGTACTTACAATTTTTGGGCCTTGTTTTGAGAATTTTTTAATATTTTGGTTGCAGTTCTAGGTAGCCAAGTGTACAGGAGAAGGCATATTTAATTCTTTATTGCTTTCAGTCACTTAACTGAACAGGCATGACCATTTTAAACAAGAAAAAGTTTGATCAACGCTGCCAATAACTGGCTGCAATATAAGCTTTAATGACACGTTTGGCTTCACATATATTTTACCCTTACCCTTAATGTGGCTGTCTAAGTCTGTGGTCATCCAAAATTTGTGGATGTTCACTATTACAGTGGGGTCTTGACTTGAGAACTTAATCCGTATTGGAAGGCGGTTCTCAAGTCAAAAAGTTCTCAGGTCAAATCTGCATTTCCCATAGGAATGCATTGAAAACCATTTGATCCGTATCTGCTCTTTTCCATCCATAGAAACTAATGGGAAGCTGCTATTCTGCCTTCGACCACTAGAGGGGGATATTTTGTTTCTTTTTTTTCTTAGGTCAAGAAAGGTTGAGGGAAGGCAGGGAAAATACAGTCCAGGCAGTCCAGTACCAGGCCGTCTGAAGACTGTCTCCCAATCCACTCTCTAAACGCTGGGAGGAGTGAGGAAGCAGACAGGCACCCTTTTCACTGGCCAACAGTTAACTGAAAGTTCAAATTTTGCACTTTCCCTGCCTCCCACGTGGTTTTTTTCAGTTCTTAACTCAAATCTAAGTATGTAAGTCAAGTTAATATTTTCCTACGAGAGTGGTTCTTAAGTCAAAATGTTCTTAACTCAAGCCGTTCTTAAGTCAAGACCCCACTGTACAGTCTATGAGTACTAAAAAACAACAACATGGCACTAAAATGAAAGACTATTATATAAACGTTTTAGATTCAGGAACAGTTGACCATGCCTGTTTGACGAACCTTGAGCACCTAAAATAATTTCTTGAAAATAGTTTATTTATTTATTAGATTTTTATCCCGCCCTTCTAGACAATGTCTACTCAGGGCGGCTTACAATAAAATTATTCATAAAACAGTTAAAACAATTATTAATCAAGATGGGAAAATATAAACAAAAAACTAAGTAAGAAATAAAAGTCAAGCATTGACAGGAGGGAAGGCCTGCCTAAAGAGCCAAGTTTTTAATTGGCTTTTAAAAACACCCAGAGAGGGTGCCAGACAGATCTCTGACGGCAAGCTGTTCCAAAGTCAAGGGGCCACTGCCGAGAAGGGCCGGTTTCTAGTTCTTTCTTTCCGGGCCTCTCTTGGTGTTGGGCCCCTCAGGTGTCTTTCCTGGCTATAGTGAGTGACTCGAGTAGATCTAGGTGGGAGAAGGCGTTCTGCTAGATATCGGGGTCCTAAACCATTTAGGGCTTTATATGTCATCATTAACCCTTTGAAATCAATGAGGAAATGAATGGGCAGCCAATGCAAGGCAGCCAGAGTGGGAGAGATATGCTGGTGTTTTCTCATCCCACTAAGTAATCTGGCTGCGGCATTCTGCAGCATTTGAAGCCTCCGCATCAATCTCAAAGGTAGCCCCACATAGCTAACGTAGTTAGCTGATTCTACCACAAGAAGCACCACATACAGCAACATACTTTTTTGGCATGACTTTAATTGTTCTCTGACTGTAAGCCCTTTTTGCCTACAACTTTTACGCACACAAAAAGTACATCAAAGAATCTTTCACATCTGCAACTCACTGGGATTATTCTTCCTTAAAGTCATTTCCCAATAAGATTCAAAGATCTATTTATATTTCTAAATAAACATTTAGAACATGTATATTTCTGTTGTCTATTTCTGAAATATACAGATTTGTTCAAAGCAAGATAACTCAAAAGGTTTGAAAATTAGCCTCAATTGATTGTTTAAAATTATTTTTATCATTGGTTTAAAAAAAGCAACAATTCCATTGAGAGGGGAAAAGACATTTTAAAACAAAGGTGTTTTTTTTTTTACAAAATGTAAACCAATTATAAATTTGAAAAAGCCATGCAGTTTGCCTTCTTTATGATTCTGTAGCTGACAGAAAATTACTAATCTTCATTCCTTTGTTAGGAATTCCTTATTCTAAAGCTCAAATATTTTAACAAAATATGGCAAAAGGTAGTCTCTCAAAACAATCACAAAATTTAATATTTCTAATTGGCATGACATAAATCAATGTGACAGCAATAAATCAAAGCAGCTGCTTTACAAAATAATTCTCAGTAGAGGAAGGTTTCAGAACAGAACACTAGCGGCTTACAAAACAGATTATGCCACCAACATTTTCCTAGTTCTTAAAGAAAAAAATATTTGCATAACTTAAGAAGAGTGCAATTAAATCAGACTGAACCCCTGTCTAGTCCAAGATCCTGTTTCTCACAATGTCTAGTTGGAAATATAGAACCATTACAAGAAAAGAAAAGGCATTCTCCTGCTATTGTGCCCTAGCAACTGCTATTTAGGAACACTGCACCATACATAAGAACCAGTAGTCACTGATAGCTTATCTACCATGCTTTAGTCCAATCTTCTTCTAAAACTAAGTTTGTGACCATCACCACATTTTGAGATAGCAAATTCTACAGAACATAATGTGCTAAATAAGAACAGCAAGGCTTGGTTACACAGAACCATGTAGTCATATTTTAGGTACAGGGGCCTATCTCCCCTGCCCCCATTGTGGGGCTGGCAACAGATAATCAGACAAAGTCTAACTATTTGGTGAGCTAAGAATGTTAGCATTCTTTTCAGAGAAAACATAATGCCTTGACTTACACCATCCTTACTGCAACAGAAACACAACACCATCAGCAAACTGGTGAGGCCTACAACAAACTGACAATGTCAGTTTTTTCCTGTACTATTCGAAACATGGTATGCATGGTAACAGCCAATGAGAGAATGAATACCTCATGATATGTGACACAGATACACATAGATCAGAAAAGATGCCCATGGTACACACTGGTGATATCACATGCAGCGTGTAGACAAATAGACAATCTCGTCCTCCTATTTTTCATTTCCAAGGTACATATGCACACACTTTTAAAATTATTTGGAAGTTGTACTTGTTAATATTTTTAAAAGGTGGTGGTTTTTTTACCTCACTAGGAAGGAGGATTTATCACATCAATGAAAACTGTAACATGCAGTAATGATAAAAAGAAGTATGACTCACTTACCAGATGATGGAGGTGTAGACTTTCTGGAACTAGGTACTACATCTCCCAAACTGGTCGATGAATTTCCTCCTGATTTACTAGAGTAAAGTAAATAAATATTCACTCTTCTGCCTGTGCATGCAGAATTCTTTGATGCCTTCTGAGGTTATGAGTTTGAACTAAATGACTACCAATTTTAACCTTCTCTTTTTGCCTTGACAAGAAAGAAACTGCTTTTCTATTCTGTCCTTTTATGGCTGCCCTGAAACTGGTGGCTGAAACTGCCTTGGATTCAATATTTACAAATCAGACATTTTTGGCAAATTGAGCTCTTCTTTCTCTTCCAGAAATTTAACAACCTAGGGGGTATTAATGTGGAACTAAAAGGGCCCTTGACAAAGAATTATAATATGTCATGTAATTTAATTTTTGTATAACAAGGAATGAATAAATTAAAAAATTTTCAAGGAATCTTATATAGTTGGGTTCCTTGTTCTCACAGATGATTGTGAGGGCATTTGGATTATCATCTAAATAGTATCTCCAGACTCTTCCCACACTAAGAACTTTTACATATCTGACCAGGGCTATGGTGTTTTCAGTTCTTCCCTATGAAACAAAGAGTACTATCTCAATATATGCAAATTTGTTGAGGGTGCCCAAAACCCATCTGTGAAATTACACAGAGACCATGAAGAACAAAAATATGTTATGAGCATTGTTCGTTCTGTCCTCATTTCCCACTCACGTAACAGGGAGACTAGTGAGATCTGTGTTTATTTGAAAATTATTCCTTCCTGTACTGTGTGAGGTGTAATGGACAGAGCATGTAAACCTGAAGCATGGTCCCAGTCTCCCTCTACAGAGTACAATTCTTAGGTAAATATATTACCTAAATAGTTTTTAACTAGTCCTCACAACACTGTATAACTACAAAGCAGAACTATATTCCATTCATTTCAGTGATAGTACCAATAAAATCTTTATTGGCATCTCCTTTAAATAACAATTGTTTCACTGACAATCAACATTTTGAAACAGAAAGATGGAACACAGCACAAGTAAAGAGTATCAGGGAACCTGTTACCAATACAGTTTTTATGTATGATTTAAAGTATAAAAATACTACCAGAAATATAATTGTGATATTAACATTAATATTACTATTATAAACATTCATTAGGCATCCTTCAGTCTCAAGAAACTATGGTAACGTGCTCTGTATGGAGGACTTGGAACAGCGTCTAGTGTGGCTGGGAAGGCCAGTCTGAGAGTGACAATCCCTTCTGCACTGAAGACAAATACAATCTGTCCCCTGTCCAGCTCCCTGATTTTGCTGGTTTCAGGTCTGCCTCTTTGCCTTGGCTTGCTGGACAAGGGGAGTCTTCAAATTGGGAGAGGCCATGCTGCACCGTCTGTCTCCAGGCTGAACACTCAGATGTCAAGGTTCCCATCTGTTGAGGTCCATTCCTAAGGCCTTCAGATGCCGGTTGCAGATATCCTTGTATCGCAACCATGGTCTCCCTCTGGGGCGATTTCTCTGCGCTAATTCTCCATACAGGAGATCTTTTGGAATCCAAAAGTATACTGACTATACTATTATTATACTTCATGGGTAGAATGCTTATGTGTCAAAGGAGGAGGAGTGCTACACTCCTGCCAACATTGTATCCCTGGTGTAGCCCTGATTTCTATCATTTACACATCTGATTCTTCTATGAACGATTTCCTAAGTATGACTACATTAGTTCATGCAAAGGTCCTTCATAAGATAGATCATGGTTACCTAAATCCAACTATTTGTCCTAGTTGTATTAGACCTATTGAATCAATGGAATGTGTTGATTCACCCAGTTCTCATTGATTCAGTGAGCATACATGGGACCAACAATTCGATTTAGACAACATATCCTATTGCATTAGCAGCAGCTTGCATCACATATAAGAGATCCTTTGCAGTTGTCTGAGGGTTCAGCTAGCATGGAGACCTGACACCAGGGCAAGACCGAGAGCAAACCCTGCTCCTTTTCTATCACATGTCTCCCTGTGCACAACTAATGTATGAACAGGTTGTAACATTCTAAGGATTTCTACGTTTTCTCACTAATGAAAGCATGCAATCCAAACTGTTTACTTGCAACAAATACCTTAATTCAATTGTGGCTTTTTTTCAATTCTCTGTTATTATATGACTTTAAAATCTTGCCACAGATAAAATCCCTTTTTATTCTGTTACCTGGAGTAAAATTTTCCTTGCTTAGTCTTTTGTTCATGCTGCAGCCTCATGTTTTCTAATTTGACTGGACTTGGTATGAATCCAATTTCACAGCCTTCTTTTACTAATCGTCCTATCCACCAGTCATTATTATATTTCTAGAAATAGAAACAGAAATATGTATTTAAATATCAGAAGTATTTCCTTTTCCCAGTGTATTATTACCATTTTCATATAATTACTACGCAAATTGTAAAATGAGCTGCACATAATTTACGGTGCTAGCTGTAAATTTATTTATTTGTTTGTTTGGTTCGATCCCACATTTTTTTTATATACTGAGACTCAATGCAGCTATACCTATCCCAACATAAGCCCCGCTATTGAACATACGTCCTGGTCATTATTTCTGGAATTGCACAGTAATTTAAATCAAGGCTGGCTGAATGTCAGGATTTGCTCCTGATATCCATCAATCAAAGCCTGCTGTAAAAGACAGAATTAAAGGATTCTGAACCTAGGAATTTCAATAGTGTTCTAAAATTAAAAGGAATTCCTAGTCCTTCAATTCAAAACTCCACTGATGAGATAATAATCCTAGAATTGCAGAGCTAGAAAAGATCTTATGGATCATCAAGTTCCAGTCCCTGTCAAGGAGGCACAGTGGGGAACTGAACTCCCAGCCTCTGGCTCTGCAGTCAAATACCTAAACCACTGAGCTATTGAGCACTAACTGCAAGCTTTTTTCATTTCAGCAGTGTAATCTGGGGTAAAAGTGGGGTAATTTTGTTGCTACTATTAATAAAGAAAAAGGTTGCCAAAATTCCTTGCCATTCAATTGCAAATCACTCCCCAGATCTTTCTTATGCCCATTGCTGATTTAAGCTGTACTGACATCAGTTGTAAAATGAAACAGTTGGCAGCAGTTCCCAGAATTTTCTGGGAATTCTGGGGCATGAAGTCCAAAAAATAAAATAATATAAAAATCTGAAAACCCCATATCTCTTCCCTTTTAAGTACACATTTCAGAGGTATGGTACCTTTGTTTAATAAAATACAATACAAGCTACTTCTCATTTATCATCAGAGTACATTACAAAAAAAGTATATCTACATTAGAACCACATAGAAGAGATTAATTTTATTTTTCTTAACATTTCCAGTTTTACTCTATTGCTAAAGCAGCATGTCATGAAACATGACATGTCTGCTTTAAATGGTTATTATCTGTCTCAGTAAAAGTGTAATTAGTCTGGAAAAGTAACCAGATGTTTCAAAATATACAGCTTAGCCATTTCAATCACTTTATGCTGACATTACATCTTATTTGCCTCTATCAAGGTGAGCTGCAGGTGCACTGAAAGTATATCATTAACCCAGTAATCAGCCAAAAGTTCTGCAGAAGCAATTATGTGGCATTTTAACATGCAGTAACAAACAAAACAAAAAAGCCCTCAGATGCATCTTTGAGGATGCAGGCATCCCATCTGATGCTCCCTCCAGAGCATCAGATATTATGTGGGAACACACATTCTCAACTCCGCTTTTTCCCAAATCTCATGAATATTCAAGCCTCAAACTACATTTTAAATTACCCTGTACACTGTCAACCAGAAAATGGTATTTTAAAGCAGTAGTTGCCACATATGAGTCCACAGATATACTTGGAATGCATATCTTGGATATTTTAACTTGTACAGCCATTGATCAAGGCCAAGAATATCTGGAATCCCAAGTTTGGGAATCACTGTTTCATAGCAAAAACAGGAAAGGTTCCAATGACCTAACTGAAGATAAGCAACTGCTATTGCAATTGCAGTATAAATTGCCTTACTTCTTTAACATGTAGGAAATCCTTTGCCTCAAATGAGATGGCCATGCCTGGGACTGGTACGTCATCATCATGAGCTGCACTGTAGCTAACATTTGTTCGGACTGCAAATGCAACAGGCTTTGTCTGTAGAGCAGAAAGAAAGAAAGTTGATGTTTTTCCCCAGATATAGACAAAATATTCTAGATTATGATGAACAAACAGAAAAAAACGGTGAACTATTTCATATCAGGCAATCAAATATGTGAATGGCAGACTTCTACGTTTCCATTATACAGATTTCCATTTGTCCATTAGTGTCAATTTCTTTTTAAATAAATTTAATAAATTTTCTCCACAGATGTAATGTTTATTCATATGATCAGTATGTATGGAATTTTAGAGAACACACAAAAGGACAGGACATGCCTCAAAATATTAAGTACCTAAAATTTGATACAGGGGAAGGAAGAGAGGAAGGGAAGTAGGATTGTCAGGTTTGAAGCTGCTGGTGCAAATCTAAGCAATTTGCTTTGCTTCATGGAGTCCCCAGGTGAGGAGACTAATCTCAGGGCAAGGTGCTCTGGAGGAGAAGACAGTTTGGATTTTGTATGTGAGTTGGGTTAAAACCTGGACACAGATCTCCACATTTTCCTAGCTGTTGCGAGGGTTCAAAAGATTCAGCATGGGGGTGTTTTTATGTGTACTGTGTAAGCACAATTGTCACTGCACTTAAAAGCCATGAGTGGGGAGAGGGGGCTGGTATGTCAGCCTGTGGCTACATATGCTTGGGTACATTTTGACATTTGAAGTAAGGAAGAGAGTGGAGCACCAGCATCACAACTTGTGAATCTTCTTGTTGCCAAAACTCTAGCAACAAACAAAAAACAGGATAAAAACCTACTCATAGGCTTGCAGCAAGGTTTTCACAAGCCCCAGCAACAATTTAGGTCCTCTTCAAACACTACTTACAGTGGGGTCTTGACTTACGAACTTAATCCATATTGGAAGGCGGTTCGTAGGTCGAAAAGTTCGTAGGTCGAATCTGCATTTCCCATAGGAATGCATTAAAAACCATTTAATCCGTATCTCCTCTTTTCTGTCCATAGAAACTAATGGGAAACTAATGGGAAGCTGCTATTCCATTTTCTGCCACTAGAGGGGATATTTTTTCTTTTTTTTCTTAGGTCAAGAAAAGTTCAGGAAAGGAGGGGGAGGCAGGGAACAGATTTAAAAGCACTTTTGAAACCTTTTTTTTCAACGAATCCAATTTTAAAGCTTGTTTTAAAGCATGTTGTGCTGATTTTTTCAGCACAAAGACACACAGGCAGGCTTTTTAGGTGCTGAGCAAGC